TGACAAAGCTCCAGAACACCCTTCACCCGCTCCGACCGCGCTTGCCGCGCTCGAGCGCGGCCCCGCTTCGGCCGAGGCGCAGGGCTGAGGCGGTGCCAAGGGGCGCTGCGGCCCTCCAGGCGCGGCGAGTCACTCGGCCCTGGCGTCAGACACGTGGCGAGGCGCTCCCAGATGGTCAACCACCAGGTCAGTATGTAACCATTTCTCGGTCCTCCAGATTTGAGAGGATAGAATAAGGGTACTACCGGTACCAACTTCTTTCTGTAGTCTATTTTAATAGGGAATCTCCCCCCAAAAAAGGAATGGTAAAAGGGCACTACTGGGGGACCTAGCCATGGTGGTCAGACCGGGACCATCACCTTAGTTACACCAGTTAGAACCAGGTAAGGTACCCTCCCACCAAAACATGGAAGTGCACTTTTGGTCCCTGCCCCAGAGGAGGGTGGGAGGGTAACGAAGAAATACAACTGGTGTAGCTGAATTAACCCGATTAACCCGCCCCCTTGGTTACAACCTACTTTGCCAACCTAAAATATCTACCCTGTTGATATCCGTTTGGTTCGGCAAAGGAAAAAAGAGGACCCTAATCCTCCGAGACCTGCTTTTCCAACAGAAGGGGTCGTCATGGGGGCTGAGTTTTTTCAGATTCCTGGGTTTTTCAGATTCCTGGGGGCTGAGTTTTTTTCAGCAAAAAAACAAAAACAAAAAACAAACAAAAAAACACAGCCCATCATCTGCATCTTCTAGTTCAGGGCCATGGGTCTGTTTTTGTTTTTTGCTTTTTGGGTTTTTGGTTTTTTGCTCATAAACACCAAGAAAACCAAAAAACACAGCCCATCATCTGAAGACAATACTTTGTTGATGCTCTCTGGATGCAAGCTTTCTTGATGCAAGACATCAATAATATGATGAGATGTGTATCAACAGAACATACGCCTCTTCCAAGATATTCTGCAGGTAACTCCAGGTAACTGGGGATAATTTATCTCATCTCTCATTTCATCTTCTGCAGGTAACATCTCATCACAAGCAATTGCTTGTGGCTTGTGTCTACTCGAATCTATTCTGAACAGCTTTACTGTTGCAAGAGCTCTTCAGCAACACGAATAGCTGCAGAGAATCTTATTCCAAAGCTCTTATTCCAAAGCTGAACAGCTTTATGCAGAGAATGGTATTTGCATCTGCAGATATCGTTGCAGGTGCTCATCTTTGCATCTTGTGCTTCTTGAGCTCAAGCAACTAGATTGGAGCTGTGCTCCAATTGCTCCAGCTCATTATGCGATAAATATGTTTGTGTTAGCTGTCTTTTCTCAAGAGCATGGGCAGAGCCCATTCTGCCCATGCGTATATTGAAAAATATTGAACATCCAACTGTAAAAAGAGATGAGTCTTGCAGCTGAAAGCTGCATAGATCAGTGATATCTTACCTTTCTTATGATTTCATATGCGTGGCAAGCTGTGCTTGCCATACTTACGTGTTTCAGAATTGCAACACAACAATAATATTTGTCCCAAACATACATCTGCTTGCAGATTGCTAAGAATACGTCTTCCAAAATATTGCATACGTACGCAACTTGTGTTGAAGATTTGTGCCAAACATACGTCTTCCAAAAGTTAGCACCCTGAGGTTTATAAACTTGGCATGCGTAAGCATGCCAATTATCCAAAAATAAGCTACAGACACACGTTTGCTAAATATTTGTGTCCAACAATGATATTTGTGCAAAATAGTTCTCAACAGGCTGTCTTCTGTGCAGATTGAAGCTAGCTCATTTTCCAGGTCTGGATGCATCTGAGTCTTCATTGGATCGAAAATGAATCTGTGCTTGCATGTCATCAGCCAAAAAAACAAAAACGCACCCCAATAAATCTAAGAGGTCACGGGTCTTGATCGTATATGTTTGGTATTTTTTAGTGTTTTTAATGGAAAAACTCAGCCCCCAAGAATCTGAAAAACTCAGCCCCCAGGAATCTGAAAAACTCAGCCCCCAGGAATCTGAAAAACTCAGTTGCCATGCCGACCCGCCCTCTTTTCCAAAGGGAAACCTAAGCACTGATGTGTCTTGATAATCAATCCGTTGCTACCTGTTCGTCAACATGTTGCATACAATCATGATTCCATGGCCTCCCCTCCCCACATTGCTTCATCCAATAATATCAAGAGCAACATCTGAAACAAACAATGCAAACCATGTATATGCCAGGTCACTGACTTCTGTGAACCAGGCTAAAGTTTTACAAAAGTCAGTGGGATACGTTCAATAAATCCAACTCTACATAAGCCGGGTGGCCTTCAAGTAATGAAGGCGCCAACCAGTTCCAAGGCTTCAAGACAAGATTTCTTAGAGGCCACCTTATGCTGGAATCTGGCCACCAAAAAAAAAAACACTCCCCCCCCCCTCCCAAACAAAAAGCAGGAACAACTACTGCAAAACATTTGCTCTGATCAGAGGTTTGGAGAGAGGTCGAATTCTTAGAGGGAAAATCCAGGAAAGGGCAGGAACAAGCCAAAACTTAGACTACCGTGCAGCATAGGAATTTGTATGCCGCCTTTGTATTGCTTCAATCGCTGGCAATTGTCTCTTTTCTTCCACAGAAGAAGTCAAAAAGGCTAGGTTGGACAAATCTGAGAGTCGGCCGCAACGGTGGATTTTCTGAGTATTGCAAGTGAACCAACCACACCCAACAAAACCCCGATAAACAACCGTGATAGGGCTTCCCTTTTGCCCCTTGAAATACTCACACCCCCGCAAGAAAGCGGGAGCATAGCATCGGGAAACATCAAGGTAGTTGGCTCATGCGTGCCTCGGGCAAGGCCACAACACAAATACAAAAAGGATGTCCCTGTCTGCCGTCAGACCCATTAGGGGGATCCCAAAACTGTTTTTCCGCTTGATCTCCTCTTGAACAAACCAACAGAAAGAGCAGACTCAAAAAGTCACATCCATCATGCATCTCGCGACAAAACAACAATTGTTTCAGTCATAATCTTGGTGCGGCCTCCCCCTGCGGCCAAGCCGGAACGTGAAAGGCAAGCAACATGTGTCATGTGTTGACAAGCGGATTCCTGTTTCCCCGAAAGGGAGGGGACACCCCCCGATCAAAATCAACCGGGGATCCGATTAATTTGGCTTGCTTCACCTTCCGCACAGCCAACACCCCCAGCTGCTGGCCATCATGTGCTTTGGGTGTGAAATGGACATGGGGATCTTTTTGTGGACATCAGAAATCGGCTCGGATGCATGTCCACTAATGACTTTTGAGTTTCTGTATCACATTTCATGGCCAAATAGGACTCGGAATGGGACTCGCAATCCCCAAACTCGCCTGGCATGTTCAAGTCGCTTGTGCACCCTAAGCCCTTAAGCCTAAATCCTAAATCACCTGGCGTTATTCTGTGGAATTCATTGGGGGTTGTTTTGTTTGCTTTGGCCACAATAGACGTTCTTTTCTTTGGCGCCTCAATTCTTCAACCAGGAGTCGACTTCTCCTGGCGTCCCACTATGCAGACCGCGCAACCGTCTTCTTTCCATAGCCATGTGGCTGATTTGTGTCTCGGCGTACAGGGTGATACGGCCATGGGCCACAAGCAGACCCCGGCATTTCGGCCGGAAGTTGGAGAAATATCCAGCGGGCCTTCTCGCCTACGGGGAACCAGCACAGCTCATCCCAAAATAAACTTGACCTGGCAAAGCTGACCTGCAGAAACAACTCCAAACTCTTATTTGCCAAAATAATTAAGAAATACCCTCCCTCCCTCCCACTAACATGGCAGCTGAGACAGGGTACCCCCAAGAGGAAAGTCATTTTCCAGGTACCCTCCCACAGGTGCTACGTTTGTTGGAGGGAGGGTACCGACCAGTTGAAAGCATGTCACTCCTCCCTCCAACAATGTCCTGAGTTTACTGGCCAAAAGCTTGCTGGATTTTGCCAACACGACGAAACCCGAATTTGCCGCTTTCAAGGGGTGTCACACCCTTAGGTTGGATAGGTCATGCGCCCTGGGAAAACGTCAGCATCTGAAAGGGTATGACCGCAACGACCCTTGGAGTGCTCTAAGTAGATCACTTCCAACCCTGTCTCTTTGCCACTCAAATGGCCCAGACCCAAAAAGTACATCAGCTCCAGGAACGAGCAAAAAACGGGCAAGCGCTGCTCCCCTGTTCGCCAACATCTTTGATGGCGATGAATTTGCCAGGTGGTGCGCTGTTTTTGGTTGGTTCCATGTTAATCTGTAGGAGGGTACTTAGAGTCCATTCAAGTTACTCTAGCGTGCCAGCGTGGGGAAACACAAATGCTATTCGAGGTGCCTGTAGGGTCTGGACCATATCCGCTGGGCTCACTAAAGTGACATCCTTAACAAGTTTAAGCATTTCAACGTCCCACTGACATGACATGATTCAGAGTCGTGTTGTTTTCATATACATTTTTCCACGCAACACGTGGCATCCATAGTGGCCTCGGTCTTAAGAGTTGGTCGGGAAAAGCTTTTTTGCAAAAGCCACCACCCAGATTGGAGGAAGCGCAAAGCAGCTACCTCTCAGCTCTATCCACATCCAAGCGCGGTACAAGCGCCGGGAGTTTTCCCATCGATCGCATGCAGTGAAAGCTTACTGCTGCTCAGCACGGAATGACTCAGGGTGTTGGGAATGAACCGCAAGTGGATTCCGGATTCCCTTAAAGGAAATCATTGGGGATGGCGTATCTCAGGATCATTCCAAATCATTCCCTGCCTATCGATGCAGCAATAACATGCAACTTCCATTTGCTTTTTCGCCCCCTGGACAGAATGAGAACATATTTCCAGTAGTGAAATGGCGATTCCAACTTCAAATTTAAAACCAACCAGGAAAAAATGTATTCTTCACTGGGCTGTCCATGTTCTGATCCGCTGCAAAACGTAAATAACTTGTGGTGGATTAAATGGAAACTACCATGAAACCCTGCCAAGGAACCGGATGGCTGATAAAACCACCTAGTATGGATGATGAGTTTGCCCCTGCTGGGTGAATCAAGCAAAGGCTCAGAAGAAACCCATTCAGAAAAAATGTGATGTTTGGTTCTACAGTCACGTGCCTCAACTCATCGAGGCATCCCGAGGCACTGGGCCCGAGCGCAAAGGATCAGCTTGCGCCTCGAAAGCGCCCGCGCGCGTCCCAGGGAAGGGGGGAGATGGGGGGGGGGACAAAGGCCAGGAGGGGAGGGAGGAGGGGGGAGGATGGAGCCTTGAAAAGTGACGCAAAACCACAAAAGCCTCGACTTGGACAGCCTGGACATGGTTCCTTCACGGAAACCTTAAGGAAAACTTCCACAATCTACCTGCTTTACGGGATCCTGGAGCCAATGAACCTGGTGAATCCGTCCAACGCAAAGGACATACGGATCCCTGCCACTGAAGTTCCCCACTCCGGCAATTTCCGTGTGAACAGTGGACACCCAACAAACAGATCCCGCCCAGTTGCTCCGTTGTCTCACCTCAACACCACAACCAAGTAATGTTGACCCCTTAAAAAAAAGAAGAGAAATTTGGTTGACTCATACGGGGTCAGCATTGCCGAAAAGCGACAAAAAGGGATACTACTGGGCCACTCCTCCCGAGAGAACGTCCAGGCGCGAGGACGCTTGGAGGTCAGCTTGTCCAGGCGCTTCTGGATCAGCATGGAATCCTCCTGGCGGCCCTCATCCCCCAAGCGAAGACTCGTCCATTGGCCTCTTGGCGATAGATTCCTTTACAAACCAAAATGGGAAAACAACAAGAATTGAAGAGAAAGCGCAAAAGAGTCCCCGGGCCAAAGAACGCCTTGCGGCTCCGAGGGCTCCGGAAGGGGGTTCCAGGGTTGTTGGGATGCTCTGCTGGGCGTATTTTGGCTTCTCCCTCGCCAAGCGATTCAATGCTTGATGCCATGATGTACGTGCTTCTCGCCTGCCTCACCACTCCTTGCTTCTCCGGATCCCATGCTTTTCAGCGGGAGCCAGGTGGATTGTTTGAGCAAACCTCATGAAAACATCTCCAAGCGGAAGAAAGCCATCCCAAAATGGATGGAAATCTTTCAGCACAAGCTCAAAAAGTGTACCAGTAATTACCTTGCCCCACTTTGGCGGCTCTCTCTCTCTCTCTCTCTCTCTCTCTCTCTCCCATCTCTCTCTCTCTCTCTATCTTTCCTTCCTTCCTTCCTTGCTTGCTTGCTTGCTTTCTTTCTTTCTTTCTGTCTTTCTGTCTTTCTTTCTTTCTTTCTTTCTTTCTTTCTTTCTTTCTCTCTCTCTCTCTCGCTCTCGCTGGTTTGGTTTCCCTTTGGCCGTCTCTTTTTCAATGGGAACCCGCATGAATAAACCTGCTAGAGTTGTGTCACAAAAGGGTGGAATCCACTGAACCATTCGACGGCATCAACCGCCGCAAAGGTTCTCCAGTAGAGAGGTTCAAATAAGGGCACCGACTTTTTTCTGTAGTCTATCTTAGTAGGGGAACCCTCCCCCAAAAAAGAAATGGTAAAGGGCACCAGTCGCTGAAAAACCTAGCTGAGCGCCCCTCCCCCCCTCCCCCCCCAGCTGGGCCGTTGACGCAAACGCGTCAACCGGAGGCCTGGTACTGCGTGCCGTTGGCTTTCTCCACACCCTGCGGATCCGAGAAACCCGAACCATGGTTCCCCCGCCGAACCCTTCCTATGAAAACGTCCCAAAGGATCGACCCGAAAGTAAACTTCAAGCATCAAGCTCCCGAAACCACACAAGCCTCTCTGGTTGTAAAGCAGGGTTGTGGGAAATGGAATCCACTTCTGTGATACAACAAAAAGGGCCTAATCCCAAAGACTAACACCCCATAAGTGGGAATAAACCCCTTGATTCCACAACCCTGCTCTGGAAATGTCTTGTCTTGGGGTTGCAAAGGAATCTCCTTTCTTTGGCGGGGGTGGGGAGGGGGGAATGGGAACATCCTGTCCCAAGTTTGATCCCTTGGATGGCGATTGTTTCACCAGCCAATGGGAATCTGAGCGTGCCTTCCTCACTGACAACATGGCAACACATCTGCAGGGTTCAATGGAAGCTCCGATGCAGGGTCGCTCCAAAGAACTGGTCAGGGCAGAACTTCTGGTACTGGAAGGAAATTGAATGAAACTGACCAAATGGGAGTGTCTCACCCCCAGCATGATTCGTTTCCTCGTGGTCCCCCCTTCAACCCAACCCCAGAAGGGTGCCCCAAAAGTCTTCTATCCTTGTGTGGCCATCAACCTATGCCGGGGGCCTCCGGATCCACCGAGGACCTGCCGTGAAACAGCTCTTGCTTGCCAACCTGCCTCCAAGGTATATTGCGACAAATAAGTATAACATGGCAATTACAGAAAAAAAAAGGAAAAAAAAGCAGGTATACAATATGGTAAGAAAGCGTGATCATGAGTACAGCATAGTAAAAACAAAGAGCGATCATGAGTGAGTATACTGTAGCAATCGTTCAAATAATCCATGGATCATGTGTATGCCAAAGTCTTTCCCAGCGCTTCCTGGTTACCTGTATAGCAGGTAACTGGCCCCTGGTTACCATTTTTTCTGGAACCAAGCTCGGTTCCCAAAAAAGTAGGAACCAGATTCCAACCTCACGGTTTTCACGGTTCCGGCCTCCCAATTCACGGTTCCACCCCCCTATCTCACGGTTCCGGCACTCTGTTTCACGGTTCCGCCCTCTATTATGTAGCCTTTTCTGTGGTTCTGGGAACTACCGACCAGTTACCAATATAGTAGGTAACCAAGCTGGTTACCAACTATACAGGTAACCGGAAGCACTGGGTTTGACTAGACGCATTGGCCTCTCTCGCCCGCCAGCCATTGGTCTACAAGATCAGGCTACAAGGGGGGCTTGCTGTTCCGGATTGCAACAAGGTTTCATCTGGAGGTGCAATGGAAACCCCCAGTAGTTTCCAACTGATCCTCCTGTGGATGGACGAAATCCATTTCGCACCACCGTTCAGAAACCCTGGTTTTTGATGATTCCCCTGTAAATGCCAACGAACAACGGTTTCTCGCGGTTTTAACGTGGTGCGAACGGATTTCCTCCATCCACAGTATGACTCACTTCCTGAGTTTAAACATGGTCTTCCCAAGTGGCTAAAGTCCAGGAACTCGGGCCGGGTTCTGTTCTCCGGGTATTGGTTGCACATATGGCCCCCGCCTGCATTTCCTTTTTGAGAAGCCGCGCGGCCTCCTGGACATCCTGCTTCTTATTGGCCTCGCTTTGCGCATCACATCAGCTGATCAGCGTTCAGTGCTTTGCCGGGGGCCCTTCCCAGCGAGCATTTCAGCGAAAGAAGGGCCAGCCTGCGTTGAAACTTCGGGCTCCTTTCATGGTGTTTTCATGGTCTTCCGGGATCGCAAGGTATCTTGAAAGGGGATGTTCGGACGTTCTTACCAACCTGGGCTCGGAACCATCGGAACCCAACAAATCCAAGCGCTCAGTGCCTTTTTTCCGCGTGCCATGCCTTTTGACTCCTGGCGGAACAAGTCCAGCCTGAAAGACCAAAACGCACCAGCGCGGGACTTCTAGAGATGTGGGTTCCACCGCCCCTTGCCCCCCCCAAAAAAAAGAGAAAGAAGCATTCATTGCAGAACTTGTTTCAAGGCGCCCTTTGGTTGGATCACCAGTTCTTCAGCTGGGGTTACAATGAGGTTTTTTTTGTGCTTAATCAAGCCGTTTCAACAAAATGGACTTTCCAAAAAGTATGCAGTCGAGGAACCGGGGAGGGGCGGGGGGGGCGGGGGTTCTCGGGGCGGAGAGGATTAACCATTACGTGTCTACCTGGAGTGATCGTCCCCTTTTTTCCACCATGGTTCTGAGACCTACTTCCCTGATAAGTAATGAATCCCCACTAAAAAAAAAACAGCCCCATATTCATAAACATCGGGTTTATTCATCCGAGGGTCGCTCCCAGTACCTCACCTTGGTCGACCCAAGCAGACGCCACGCGACTCGTTCCGCCGAGTGGCCGGGTGACCCTTCGCACGCGCCAGGCGGTGCATGTTCTCGTAGGTCTCCGGGTGATCTGTGCCAAAGGTATCGTAGCACTCCTGGAGCTCGCGGATGCAACCCTCACGTGGAACTGGGGGGGAAGGAAGTGCACGTCAACACCACTGCAGGGTTTCCGCCTGCTTTTTGGACACAGCTTCTGCCAACTTATCCTGGTTGAATCGTCTTAACACCATGCGGAACCCTCCAGGAGGGGTTGTTTTGATGGGAAACCACAATAGGAAACCACTCCTCAAGCGCAACCCTCCCAACGTCTCCATTTTGACACCATTGGGTGCACCTGGAGGGGGAGTGATTTTTAGCAGAGAACCAAAAGGAAACCACACAAAAATCAGATTTTGGGGGACACCGAAATTTTGAAAACCTCTCGTTTGTCCAATATGGGGCTCGTTTCCTTCGCCCGCCCCCCGGCCCCCTCCCCCTTTCTGACAACCGGAACATATCGCCGAGGCTCCGCCAGCCGCCTCTGCAGCAGCGTCTCCGACTCCCCGTAGGCGCCTCGTCCCCGCGGTGGGGGGGAAGGTGCTTGGAGGCAAGGTGAGAGAAGTGACGGCTTGCCATAGGCGTCCTTTTGGGGAAATAGATGGGTTTCCCTGGTAGATGATTAACCCACCAGGGAAACCAGGAATCGCCATCGATTTTTCTACCAAAACAACCAAAAAGGACGCCTATGGGATGAGGAGGAAATGACCTGCGCAAATGCGAAATATACGACATTACCCCCCGTACCTGCAAAACATGCCCCGCACTTCGGAGCCGAAGCAAACATGGTTCAGACCACATTCCAACCCCTGCAAGCAGCGCAGTTGAAAACCCAACGACCGCCTGAAAGGGCCTGTTTGATCCAAAACGATGGCCCGCACCAACTCCCCAACCTCCGGATGGTAGCCTTGGGCCTTGCTTTGATCCTTCCAAAGTCAGACGCTACGACGCCTCCCTGGAACCACCGCAAGGCTTGTTGTCTTATCTAGCACATGGGGGTTGTGCAAAAAAACAAATCATCCTAAACACTGCCGTTCCGCCCCTTGAAACGTGGAATGCTGAACCCAATGCATGGGTCTTAGCAAGACACCGACGCGCCTCTGGACTCCATGAGCCGTGAGAGGCCTCGGAGAGCGACGGTCCCTGCCTTCATTCAGGCCTCGTGGGCGTTTTGAGCCAAGCCCGGTTTGCGGTTGTCCTCTTTTGCAGCCAAGCCAAGAGATTTGGGTGGGTGGTTCTAACGGCGGGGGAATTCCATTCCATTTTGCGGGCCCCCTGTTGCTAACATCCAAATTCAAGTTGACTCATATAGAAATATATATGTATATATATATATTCTTCGCCCTTGGCATGCCAACCATTTTGTCAATTGGACAAAGGTGCGGCCAAAGGATTGGCCACCCTGGTGGAAGTTCCAAAGCCCCCCCATTTTGCTCATTGCTTGGCTAGCCTGACGCAGGGACATGAAGGCTTCCCGAGTGAAAAGCTGGTGCCATCTGACCCAAGGCTCAAACTTTTGCACATGTGGCCAATCACCTTTTCCGTGGTACCAAAATGTAGCTGTCACCCTAACTATATACGTTGTCACTTGACAATAGGAACTCTTGGGATCACAGACTCACTTTTCCACAGTGCGGTTGCAGCCTTGTATTATTTTAAAAAAATGTGGTTGCAGCCTTGTATTTAAACAAAAAGTTCAAGGAGCAATAAGCGGGCCGGCAGGGGTGTCCCTGTTCTCTCCGAGTTGGGTTCAGTAGACCCTAGGCACCAGTGGCCCTGGTTTGGATTTGGGAGCGAACACGCGCCTCCATTCGTGATAGGCTCCCTTTCAAAACCAACAGGGGAGGGAAGCTCACCAAAGTTTGTACCCGTTGGCCGTTTCCTCTTTCGGAGCGCAGTTGAAAGGATGCCGATGTCGAAGCAACCTCTACAAGCCTTGCAGATCAGGCTCTTCACAACCCGGGTCGGTAGAAAAAGCTGCGTGCTTTGTAGCCCCCCACCAAAATGAACAGGACCAAAGACGCAAAGAACTAGAACTACGCTTTCTCCATGGCTCGCAATTCAGGCGATGTGTCCTCTTGAAACATCACCAGAAGGGGAGGTTCAACCAACAGTGGCAACTAAATGCAAAAACCAACTTCCGACTTCCGTGGAACTAGGACGCAGGTAAATTACTCTCCGCATTAATGCGTGCAAAGAAGCCCAGCTATGAGCAAGAACTGCCAATCCCAAGGGTTCAAGTTAAATATGAAGCGCGGGTTCTCTGACAAGACTAGGGGTTGTCCAATAAAGATATGTTTACTAACCCCAGGAGTCTGACATTAGGCAACAAGAAGAATGTCTTCTAATGATACACCAGGTTGAAAGTAGATGGCGAATGTGAATTTCCGCGCAGATCTGGGTCGGCAAAGGGGATGACATTTGCAGGGTGGGATTGAACTTGCCATCGACTTTTGCACATCTGTACCTGGTTGACAGGCTGCAGATTTTGTGTCTTAACCCTTTCCAACAACCCAACCTAATCAGGTTTTTTTTAAGACATATGAAGACCCTAGTAAGGCCTTGATAAGGGGCGCTCCCTAATTCCCAGGGAGGTAGTGAGATAGGGGGAGGTTGCACATCCCATGACTCAACTGGGCTGCCGAGCCATCCAGCGCCTGCAAGCTGTCATTGTTGATCTCCTCAGGCCGAAAAGCTGCGCCCAAATCCGCGCAAAAAACAAAGCCAGCGGTTGATCAGGGGGAAACCTGAAAATTTCAAAGGTGTGGAGACTAGTTAAATTGGTTTGTCTCCAATCCCTAACCGACGGAAACATTGACCATCTTCCTTTTGGCTTTCTTCTCGCCCAAAACGGCCAACGTTACGCCACGTTTCACCCTCGGTCATTGCCAGACTTAACTGGCCTGTTTTCCCTTTTGCCGTTCCGGGAATCCGCGCTTTAGCAAAGCCACGAGCGGTTGATCAAGTGTTTCCAAATGATGAAACTAGGGGAGGGGCAACCCAAAACGGACAGCAAAAAAGTTTAGTTTGGTTCCCCAGATGCCAGGAGGCCCTAAATTCACAACCCTCCTGCCCATCGACTCGATGCAATCACCTCGTGCCATTCGGCGGATGTAGATCTATGATATTTTGTAACACTGAATCGTCCGGCCACTTTGGCAGAGAGTCGACTTGCGTACTTGGGCTTGATGCCTGAGATACACATGTGCACATGTGCATATTCTGTTTGCACCCGTGCAAGATGCATCCCCAAGCCCGCTGTCGTTTTACAAGCTCACCCGCTCTGTAGCCCTGCCCTGTTCAGGTCCCCCAGTGCACCTGCCTCAAGGCGATCGACCTGTTGCCATGACTCTGACAGAGAAGAAACGGAAACCACCCGGCAGGTTCTTTGAGCCTTCTTTGGCGGCATGGTGCTTAGAAAAGCCTTTCTGGGCTAGGGGGACTACTGTTTCTCCTTAGTTTGTTCTGTGCAACCTTTGGCTGCATGTAAGCACATGGAAGCGGGTTTTCCGTTTGACACATGTTGTGCTTGACAAGCTTGGTACATATCGCAAAAAAAGCAGCCTACATTTTATGCTCGCAACCCACCAAACGCGCCGTCACCTGTCCACAAGGGATGCCACCTGGATGAATTGCGCAAAAACCCACCGACACACACAAAAAAATCCCGGCCCCCTATGCAAGGTCTCATTTCTCATCCGGGAAGGTTCGCTGTGGTTCTTTGCCCAGACTGTTTCCAAAACCGTCGAACGGAACGCCCTGTTCCCTTTGACCATCCGACGGCTCGGCTTGAGTTTCCAGAGACTCGAGAGGTCGCGGCCTGAAGATGCGGCGCTTCACTTGCCCTAACTCCAGGCTCCCCTCGTTTTGAACATATTTCACTTGCCCGAAAGGAGGTACTAAGCCACAAGGAAAACCTTAGGCCCTGTGAACTTCCTAACCTTCCCAGCCCGCGGCACGTTGACGGGACCAAAGACGCCATAAAACTAGTAACACATACGAAGAACAGCGAAGGTTGTACGTTCAAAATGTGGTTGGACCGCCTTGATTCTTTGTCGTGTCCTTCTGGTTCCCTTGAACCCCCCCCCCAAAAAAAAAAGAAAGAAAGAAAAAGTGCCCCTCACAAAAAGGCATATCCACACACCAGTAGAAACCACCACACATCCAGGAGTCGTTCACCTCGGTCATCCGGATCCGCGACGTGAGGTACAGCTTCTCCACCGCCTGCGGTCGGGAGTGCGTTTGGAGGCAAACGAAAAGGACCTGTGAAGTCGAAACCTGGTGCCTGGGTGATCGGCCAAGATAGGTTGTTGGTCACCTTGGTTTTCACCCACTCATAAGACCCCAGACCACGAAGGCAACCAGAGCTCCAAAGTGAAAGCGAAGGTTTCGGCCAAGGTAGTATTGGACAAACGGAACAAGCGGGGATACAGAGGGAGCGCTGGGGGCGCCATTTCCCATATCAAACTTAGTCAAGGTACTTGGGTGCTCGATTCGACAAGTTACCCTGGCTCCAACTAACATGGCATCTGTGGGGAGGTACCTGGAATATTAATTTCCTTTTGAAGAGAGCCCCTGTCAGTTGCCATGTTAGTGGGAGGGAGGGTAGTAGATTGTTGGTAACCTAGGCTATTATCCACTTATAAGCCTCCTGAAGTGGGGCTTAACCCAGTCATTTGTGGGTTATATCCCAGGTGGCTGACCACTTACGAACTGTGGCCGAACAACCAAGCGGTCAGTGTCCCAGGTTCTTGGTGAGCCCCGGTGGTTTGGTGGCTGGTCACATATGCACGCTACAAAACCAGGTTATCTCAGCACCCATCCAACCCACCAATCAAGGGTCACCTGAGTAAAGAACGCCCAAGACATCCCAAGACCATGTGCAAGAAAGACAGGGACGGCCGCACTTGTTTCTGCTCCTCACTCAACTTCATCCGCCCAGGTTTGACAGCAGCTGGCTGCATCGTTTTTGGTTGGTAGCCTCTTGCTGCAACCAGAACAAGACACACCCAAGCGTCCCCGCTCGTACTAAGAAGCTATTTGGGTGTGCCTTGTTTGATGGCCCCCTTTGGGCTTGGAAGCCAAATTCACTTTGTAGGTCCACACGAGTTGGAGGATTGACCATGCCCCCGGCAATTCCTGCCCGGGATCACGCCGTTCTCTCGGCTTGCAACCGGCACTGCCGATTCCACTTTACAAGCCCCAACCCCCGCAGACTCGAGAAGATGGAGCTGTAAAGTCAGAACATGCCTGAGGGGCGCTTCGCATTTCTCACACCAACTCTTGAACACTTGAAAAAGGCACACGTCAAGGAAAGCAACACGTACTCCTCGGGAAGGTAGCCAAGCTTACTAAGGTTACTAACTGAAGTCAAGTTAACTGGTTACTCAGTGGTGAAGCACGCACTGTACCCAGCCTTTGATTTGCGGACTCAACTTCGTACCCACGAAATCATTTTAACAAAAACAAAAACACAGCTGGTTTCTGCAATGCATTCTCAGCTTCCCAAGCGTTGCTCAACTAACGCACGTGCTTAGCTGAGTGGTTCATAGACCTCAGTTAACCTCTAGTGAGGTATTCCTCAAAACTTTAACTAGGGCTACTAACCATTTGGCTGCTGGCCATCTAATCCGAGTTGTGAAATTTGGACAAGAAAGCCCAGATCCCTTTTGGTTTCTGTTTGGGAAGATTGACCTCGGGGATAGCTGGCACCCATGGAACTCAGCAAAACATCATTAGACACATCTCAATTGGGGTACCCTCCCTCACACTAACACAGAACCTGTGGGAGAGTACCTGGAAGATGCATATCATCTTGTAGGGACTGAGGCGGACTTTTTCTTACTGTTGTTTGGTGGGGGTTGCCACGGGCCACGGCACAAACCCTAGGAAACCAACAAAAGGGCTGCAGAAGAAGGATCTGACCCCTTGCCCAGGAGCAATCACAGGGTTGGGCGAATCACAGGGATTGAGCGCGGTCTAGACCACCCTTTGGTGAAACAACCTCCTCGGCTTCCCTGCAAAAGATGGCGACCAGGGCCGTCCGTTGCTCAAACAAATTGGGTCTCTGTCAATATGGGGACCCAAAATAGGCGGTGTCCTGTTACAGTCCTGTTGATCTCAAAAATTACGCAGTTTGGCCAAAAACGAAAGTTGCATAAAACGGGTGCATTGCGGCATCCCTAAACCTGCCCCAAAACGTTTGCGGCCTGTGTTTCATTAATTTGCACATCGATACGGGTGCCCTTTTGAGAGCTACCCCCCACTTTGGTTCCCCAATCAATAACCAATAACCACCCGTTCCGGGATTAGCAACCCCAAAAAGACGAGTATGGGGCTTGCTCACTTATCCATGGGAGATCGGCCGTCGACGCAGCAACCAACTCGCCTGCGTGTACAGCGACTCGGCTTCATCTTCCGCCTGGCCGTGGGGAGCTTATGTGTGTGTGTATTTATATATGTATATATATATATATACACATGCTAGATATATATATATATATATATGCATATATGCATATATTTATATGTATATATATATACATAATTATATATATATATATGTGTTGAACTATGCATATATACACATATATGTGCGTGTCTCTGTGCATAAATGGACGAATCCCCAGCAAAAGGGGTGGTCCCTGTTCATTACTCTCTCGTCAACATTCCATAAAGATGTGTCAAGAAACGAAAAGGCGGTGTGTCCCCCTCTTTACGGCGAGGGGACTGTCCTGAATTCCCACCATCTAATTCAACGGGCTACGAAACTACACGCATCCTGCTCCTATGCCAATGTTCTATGTTGGTTTCAACGGTCCCCCCCCCCAAACTCAGTCTCATAGACTCTGCTAGCACCCAGGTTTTGATTTTGGACTGAACCCCCAAGGTTGAATCCATGGTGTGCTGCCCTTCGGAAAACGAGGGATTATCCTGGGTTGTAGCTTGGTACCCTCAACACGGCATGGCTTCCCTGTTGTTAAACCTGTCCAGGCCAGAAGTTCCCCCTCGCACACCCGTCCTCGGGGCTCGATTGAAGAAGCAGGCCACCTCGTGCGGGACGGGTGGGGCGGGTCTTGGGGCTGGGTCCTTGAACAGGGGAACCACTTTAAACCACAGCCAGTGATTACCTTCGTAACCAAGGGAACCACCCTCTACAAACTAGAAGGTCAACAGCTGGTTGCCCATTAGTGGAAACTGGATGCGCTGGGACGAGTGAGAGGTAAAATTGAATGAAGTCACCTGAATAAACCAAGGTTGACCTCAAGAGCCCTAGGCAAATACTGGGCCATACCCTTCAACTCACCAGGCGAGACCCTGGCCCGTGACATCCCCTCCCCCCCCCCCCAGAAAACGGGTTGTTTTCCATTGACTATGGTTTACTGTTATATGACATATTGACAACGGACACATTGTCAGTTTCACCTGTGGCAAGCTCACTTGACCCGGGTATAGCCCCCCTGTCCGGCATACAAAAGGCGAGCAAACCCGTGTCCTTACCTGCCACAGCTTCCGCGACCCCCGGATTTTAAAAGAAAACAATTCCAAGAAGGAAAGCGGCATGAATGTCCCACTGGAGGTCTTGGTTGTTTTCTAAAAACATCAAGTGCAGTGAAGATCGCCACTGCTTCTTTCCAGCTAGCTCTTGTCATACTTGACATAGGTCTTCACGAGCGCATGCGTTAACCTTGTCACAGGCCAGTCACAGTTTCGTCACCAGGAGGATCACACCTACATGCTCCTTTTAAACCGCGATCCTTTGTCGCACCCTTGCTTAGGCGCAACTGTCACCTAAAAAAACGGTTCAACCTTATTTGTACGAGGATCAAGCGTAGACTTAATGAAACTCTAGATGGCCGAGCGTCAAGTGTATAGTTGTGCAAAGTAACTCTGACGATTGCGTCACTTTAAAGGCGCTTGTCAACATTCCACTTGAGATGGAGAGACACGAAAGGTGGGATACCGCAAAGTGGTCCCCCTAATGTGTCGAAAAGTGGCTTCCCCTAATGTAGCCTAAAAAAGGAAGGGGCTTGCATCGAATACCATTCAGGTGCACATGGAGCTCAACAGCTTGACTATGTTAAGAAACAATTTCCGTTGCGCGAAAAAGGGAAGTACCTGTTGACCATGTATGACGAAGCGAGCAGGCCGACCCCAGACCCCCTCAGTCTAGCCTTGCTAACGCAAGGACAAACTCAATCTGGCCCCCTTAAAGCTACCTTTCGTGAAATGTGACGTTGCCAAAAAGGGCTGAAAAATGAATGGTCCCCCTTCCAGCACCGCCCGAGTGCTGCCAAATTGGCGTGACTTAGGGGTAAAACACAAACAACGTCACTTTTTGGCTAAGTGATGCTTTGCTGAATTTCCGCAATTTCCCGTAAAATCGGACGGATCTACGAGGGCAGGGGCGGGGCAAAAAGGCAGCGTGACCAAAGTCAGCACGCTGTGCGCCAACACCAGCACAAAACCTGCTAATGACCCTTACAGCAAACAGCCATGCAAATCTCCATCGCTCGTCACGAGCATGTCACTTGCAGGTCGTTTGCTCGGCCTGCGCGTCGCTTGCGGGTCGCCTCGCGTCGCTTGCGTTTTGCTCCGTGTCACTGGGGTGTCGCTTGCGTGTCACCTGCGCGTCGCCCGGTGTCGCTTGCGTGTCGCCCGGTGTCGCTTGCGTGTCGCCCCGTGCCGCTTGCGTGTCGCCTGCGTGTCGCTTGCGTGTCGCCTGCGTGTCGCCTGCGTGTCGCTTGCGTGTTGCCCTGTGTCACGCAGAGTAAAAGTGCTGCTTTGGGGCCCCAAGGCATGAAATTTAAGCCCCAAAGCATCACTTCGGCTGCGAAAGCGTGTCGCTTGCGTGTCGCTTGCGTGTCGCCGGCGTGTCGCCTGCGTGTCGCTTGCGTGTCGCTTGCGTGTCGCTTGCGTGCCGTGTCGCTTGCGTGTCGCCCCGTGTCACGTGTGTCTCGGCCAGCGTCGCGCGCGCGCCGCCCTGCGTCGTGCTCGCATCGCCTCGTGTCGCTTGCGTGTTGCCCTGTGTTGCCTGCGTATTGCCCCGTGTCGCCCCGCATTGTCCCATGCTGCTTTCCGCTAAAGATTTTCAGAAGCCTTTGCTAGTTTCGTTTGTCCAGATTCAGGCTCACAGTGGTGCGGACAGTTCTTTTGGCCGCTGAGCTTGGAAAACGCTTAGCAGACTCAGCTGCCATGAATGGACTGAGAATGGTCTTCAAACTGGTGGTTGCTAGATTTGAAGTGCTGCCGATTGTATTTTTTCGCAAGTGCCTTCAATTTGGCGGCACTTTCACAAAATTGAGAACAACGGTCGTTGGGTGGTCCTGGTTGTGGGACGGGTTCCCAATTTGATCTATCTAGTCTTTCCCCACGAAAGGGAAAACGGAACCCTTCCCGACTACTTGGCCAAAAGAGTCTAGACTTGTTGTTTGCCACTAAAATGCTCCAAAAGAAAAGTGACTAAAGTCCATGAACTCAGGACGTCAGCAAAATGTTTTGAAGGTCAACGGGTTTGGAGCCGAACTGAGGGGCGCTTGCAGGGCGCCAACGCGCCAACGGCGCTCGGAGCGCCGGAGCGCCTGCGACGTCGCAGCGCTTCTTGATCTCGTAGGGCTTCTCGTCCGGGATCGTGCGCAGCAACTCCACGGCCTGTCAATCAGTTTTCCGGCTGGGTGGTGTGGACTGGCGAATCGCTTGGATTGCTTCTGGTGGCTTGGATTTGGTGGCTTGGATTGGGTGGATTGGATTGCGTGGGTTGGAGTGATTTCTCATATACCTACCCTTTGTGCTGAAAGTGCTTCCAAAATAATGAAGCGGGGACAATGGCACAGCCCCTTTTCCAGCTGCAAACTAACAGCATCATTCGAGGGAAAGTACCAAACACGTATTCATTTCATTTGAAATTGACGCGCCGGCACTTCCTCCGAAACATCCCCACTTCGCCGAAGCGCGCGCGAGCGGCAACGCTGCATCGCGCCTTGTCCTGATTGCCCAGGGCCTCCTGAGCAGCCGCCTCATGCCGCACGTCCTTCGTCAAAGTCGCGTCGTGCTTCAGCACCCCGCCTGAGAAAGCAATCCCGGACGACCCCCCGAATTAGGCTGTGAGGGGGGTAGGTGACCTAAGATGGGTTGCGGCATTGTTCAAAAGGCACACTATGCCGTGAGGGGAGCGGCATGTCAGATGCATTTTTGCCCCAGACCAGGCGCTGTTGCTGGAAAGTCGCCAGGTCGGCCTTGAACCACACGGAATACAAGTGTCCACTGCATGTGAGGATATGCACTTACGCAAAGGCCAATGTGCGTTTACAGCAACTAACAACACGGGAGACAATAAACGTCCCCATGTTAAACAACAACTGGGAAACCATGTTTTGTTGAAGCCGAAGGCCGCCAGCACCTGAGCTCTCACGGGGCTGACTGGGTCCAACGCGTCCATCCTGAAAACGACCTGATTGCGGGCTTAAAGGGAAAGCCCTTGCCAAAGCACTTTCTTGAGAATCCCCGGGACCCACAAGCAATTCACAGGGATCCGGATGCATTGTGCACCTGAACATTGCCTTGTAAATGCTGGTTTCCGTTTATTTTGGTGGAAAAAGCCAAGTTTCAAATGGGAAAAGTGTATCTTTGAAGGAGCCATGATTCACTTCCTCCGGGAATTTGCCAAAGCATGTCCGAACCCCCCCCCCAAAAAAAAAAAAAAACATGCCGAGGAAGCCTGTGGGCCAACCGCCATGCATAGCCACTCGGTCAGGCCAAGCTGCCCATGATGGTCTGGGCCTCCGTGTCGTCACCTACAGGTCGAGACATCCCCCGCGAATTTGTGGCTCCGTGTTGGTGGTTTCGAGGTGTTCAGGGGTGCTTTCCCATCTACCCAAGTCAGGGGTTCAAAAATTGTACCAATCCAAACCGCCAATAGGTGACTTGGAAAATTTCAACATCCAGCACGGAACCCAACTAACCGTCATGTCTAGAAGGTGGCCCCTCTTTTGCGTTCCATGCCAGTTAGGCCGAGGTCAACCTCAAACTCTACCAGTGGGAAACATCATGGGCCTGGGAATCTTGGAATGGGCGATTGGCCAGCCAAATTGGGTGCATCAAATCGACGCTCTCAAAACTGACACCAACAAATATACAATTGGTTCACATTATCATAAATAAATGAATAAATAAGTAAAATGTGTATATATACATATGTGTGTATATTAAATATATATATATATATATACATATATATATATACATTAGTCTACCCTCCCCCCCCCCCCCGCAACAAAAAGGAGACGACCCAAGGAATTGACTCGCCCTTTCAATACGGTTTGTGTTTTGTCATCTCAGGGTTTTCGGTGAAGAGCTTTGCCTCCCTGCGCCAGCCAAAGTCTCCCTGAAAAAGCAAAAATACATACAGCACCCTGAAAAACACACACACACACACACACAGGTTTCGCTGCTGGCTAACGATTCTGATAGAGGCGTATCCTCCTTGCCATGGAACCTGACAGAGTGGTGCCTGTGAAGCCGTGGTCCTTCAGCGTACCGCTCTCATTATTCTCCTTTAAGGCAATCCTCTGGTTCCATGTAAGTGGACCGGAGGGAAATGCTTCATCGAACTATGATAACCAACAGCTTCAGTGTACAGGTTGCAACAGCCTCGACCCACAGGTTGCTTCACCGAATATGGCAGATGCAGCGACCTGGCCTGGGTCGAAGCAAAAACCAACCCAAGTTTCAACACCCAAAGCACGAAGCAAAGGCTTCGGGGCAGTGTAGAACGACCTTTCCTAGTGAAGACGCCCATTTGGGGCCCCACAGCCTCAACCTAATCCTACTGGTCGCCTTGGGCCAAGAGCTGAAACACGTGCCCGGGACACGCTGCCCCGCATACCACATACCCAAAGCGCCCCTACAAATAGGCAACGTGCATATGAAGGGTAGCGGAGTTTTGAAGGAGCGCTCGAAGGAAAATGCCAACAACCCAAACTCAAGCAGAACAAGCCTCTCACGCTCGCACTGACGCCTCGCAGCACCTTCACACACGCCAGCTGGCTGCGCCCATCCTGCAGCAGCGACTTCTTCGCGGCTTTGTTGTCCCGCCCTCGGTGGAGTCTCCGCAGCTTGCACGTCATAGCGCGGGCATCACCTCCCTTGACCAGTGGGTGAATTATAATATTTCACCAACCTGAAATAATGTGGTTGGGGGGCTATTCCCCACATAAACCACCATTTGGGGTTCGTGTGAGGTCGATATAATTCACCCAGAAGGCTTGCAGCTCAAACCATTGAGCAAATTACAGAGTATGTGGGCAAAATAGATACGAGCAGTATTCTCTCATGATATCCCCCCAACATGCCACAACCCCCCTCCCCCAAAAATCGAAAGGGTATTTATATATATATATATACATCACATATCATATATATATATAACTCTAGGTTGGGTCTATCGCAGCTAATCTTAGTCTTCCCCAACGAGGGCTTGTTTGGGGGGTGCTGTGTTTTGGGGGTTGCCCGAACGAGGTGTTGACCAAAACCACCGGCCATGGGCGGAGGAACTCGCGGCGACCCTTCTCAACCGCAGCATGTGAAGATTCTGGTCCGGGGGGGCTTTTGGGGCGAGGGGGTTCTCCAAATAGGAATTGCACTCCCCCCCCCAGAAAAAATGGTAGGTTTCCTTGTCCCCTTCACGTACCAGCGAAAAGGGTTTAAGTTTGTTCTGTCTTGAAAATACCTGCCATGTTTGATGAACCCTAAACACTGTCACTTGAAGTCCCAGTTCAGGTCTTTCACGGTTGCCTGCCAACCGCGCGCGTGCGGCCACCCGTAAATTTCCGACGAGCAGCGCTTGTCCACAGCCTCGGGTTGCGGCAGTTCGAAACACCAAGGCGCGGTTTCAACCTGTTCGTTCTCCCGGGTTTGAGGAGCCTAGCTCCAAGTATTTATGTGGCCATGGGTCAAAATCCAAATCGTACCCCCCAGTGAACATCCCAATCCCCACTAAAATAGACTAAAATGGGTGGTGCACCTACCCCAAAATGGTACTGACCTGTAGCCCCCTCGTCGACCAAGGCAGAATGACAGGATTGATGCGCAACCCCCTCCCTCGATTCCATCTTCAAGGGGAGGGGGCATAAGCTGTTTGGTGGACCCTAGGAGAACTCTCTCAACACGGGTGGACTGGGTGCACAAGCGCATGTTCCCTATGAAAGGAACCCAAGATGAGGTCGCCATCATCAAAGACCCTACAGACCATCCCCCCTGCTTTTCCCCTTCCCGAATCGGCAAGGCGTTGTTTCACCATATGTTGCCCAAGCAGTGGCTCGGAAGCCGTGAATTGCCCATGCTCGTATTGCAAGCGAACCAGGCCAAATAAACAAGAATATGAACCCATAATCGTCGAAAACCACCCGAAACCGGTGAAACCAAAGTGAGCATCCCCAAGACAACTTTATCACTTCGAAGGGAATCCTCCAAGACGTATCACGGAATGGGGCGACCTAAAGCCCAATCTGCCACAGCCGTGTTTCTCTTCAGCCCGCAGCTGTTAAGAGCGTCTTGGGTGAGTCCGTGGTAGGTCCCTTGGCCCCAGCGAACTAGCGGCATCATGAACAACATTTACAACGAGAAGAAGCTGGGTGTGCCTTTGTTCGTGGGTACTGTTTGGTGGGATGTTCACATGAGGCTCTTTTTTCTTGTGAGTACCCTTTCTGGGTTGGAAAGCCAAAAGGACAAACCACCATCCTTGCTGGGCCCCCCTATTCTGACCCGAAAGGGGAATCACTGCCCAGCAAACCCAACGGAAGGTAGCGAAGCCCCTGAAAAGGTCCGATGCCTCCAAAGAACTTAACCCCCCCCTCGCCCTCAACTCAACGTTTGTCGTGGAAAAATATTTGTGTTGTGGCTCTCACTCCTCAAAATCGTATCCTGGGCCATTCTGTTCACCTGCAGAGACTTCCGATTCGCTTTCAACGAGCGAGCGGTCCAGCAATTCAGGGCAACCTGTCTGCTTCAGCCAACTCACACCCACAGTGACAGAATGACAGAAATTGGATTCTGTCGTTGGCCGCTTACTTGCTCAGCAGGTCTGAATTGCCTCAACGGAAGCACCAAAAAAGAAAACCACGAAAAAATGAAGCACTAAAACCACCACATCTTTGGAGTCTCTTGTCAAAACCCCCCCTGGTTCGGCTCCACCCCGTGAGCCATCCCAGCGCCCGGCCTGGCTGGCCAGCTTCTCCTGAAGCGGCCGGCGCGAGAAGGCCAACTTGTGAAAAGCCGCTGTTTTGGACAGGTTCCACTTTTGAAAACAGAAACAAACAGCTTATATCCCGCGACCGCCAGGCTTTTGACAGGGATCTATGTACGGGTTATGTCCAATCCCGGCGTGCCAGCGTAAGGTGTGAAACCTCGGAATAAAGGCGAGCACTTTCTTGGGACCTCTTAAGAAAGTGCAGCAAACGCAGTCAGATCCGGTTGATTCGCTTTGGGCAACTGAGGTAGGTTAAAGGCACAAACAACCCCGGCTTCTGACTTGAAGCATTGATATTGCTATTTTTCAAAATTGGACAGCCAAAATGTGAAAAGGCGGGATTTGAATGGATTTGTGAGTTCAAATGATGAGCCGTGGCTGGCCTCATCTCAAAATGCCTTACTCTGCAGAAATCATGTATTTCTGCTTCGCCCTTTCAGGGTTGGGCAACTGGATCTTTAAAATGAGGCGATGGGCGCTCGATTGAGCGTGACACCTGCTCATGTAAAACACACACCTGTTTACATGTTGGGGGGGGGGGCTACTAATTCGGCAATTGGTACTTTGTATGCGTACACATGTGCATATGTCTTTGTCGCCGCATATTGTGTATATGTCACATTGTCATGCATGTTTAGCGTGCGTAAGCATACTTCCTTCCCCCTATACATTGCTTGCTGTTCACCTTTGAAAGGACAGATCCGCCTGATGGAATTGGCCTGCTAAGTCAACTTACCAAAGCTCTTTCAAGTAGGGGCCGTGGTATAAAATACCAGCCGGGTTGCTGCGTTTCAGCCCTGGTTCGATAGCACTTTGTAGTACATCTAGTATCCCTGCCACAGCCTTAGGTGTCTCCTGTGTTTATATGTCGCCCGTTTGTGCCTTTGAGGAAACCAAAGCACGGGAGCCCCGCCATTTTGAGGGTCACCCCCTTCCCAAGTTCGATCAAATCCGAGGCTCCGCCGATTCCAGCTCCGTGCTGGACCCCTGCCGAGGCGCAGACTGACAGCTCTCACCGCTCCTACCCTCCCACCAATTAACATGGAACCTGATGGGGGGGGAGGGGGGGCACCATGCTCCTTAAGGGCCCGGGCCCCTGCCGGGTTCCAAGTTACTTGGTGGGAGGGTAGTTCTTGCGGAAGCCTCCCCAGTACCAGGGATCCTTCTTTTCAGGAAACAACCATTCAGGGGACACAGCGGCGGTTTTGAGAAGAACGATGGTTGAAAAGAATGGAAAAGGAATCAACCCCTAGAGTAGTGGTTCGCTTGATGCCTTGCTAATGTGTTCCGTTTATAAACTGAGGTTCATTTGTCTCGTCAACACCCCCCAACAAAAGGATCTCGGTTTTCCTCTCCCCTTACCAACCCACAAAAACGGGGGACGAGCCCATTTAAAGGTTGGAGAAAACTACACGGGCACCACTTCGAACCTCCCTGCGCGAATCCTTGGTTGCTGTTGACCCCCGAGCAAAAAGTGTTTTGGTTGACTTTTTTTTGGGGGGGGGGGGGGTTCGTGGGGTTTCCCCAACTCGATTTCAACCGAAAAGCTAAAGTCTAAAGATCTAACCCCAGAGCTGTCAAATCACACCGCGCCTTGCCGCCCTCCAGGGCCACGGCCTCCTTGAGCGCCGCCAAGTCCTGCATCACCTGGACGGAACAACAAGGCAAAAGGCGAGGCGCCCCGTTCGAACCCTCTAGTGTTTTCCTGTGCTACGTCCAGTAGACAGGTTCGAATACGGGCACCCTGTTTTGTAGTCGGTTTTTTGTAGGGGAACCCTCCCCCAAAAAAGGGGTAAAAGGGCACCCACCAAAAAACCTGGTGTGTGTTCAGGGCTGGGCAAGGACTGTTTTTAAACAACCGGACCAGACACATGGATGCGATTGTTTATAAAAACAAAGGGCAGGTCTATAATTCAGCGGGTAGCTTCCCCATTCCTTCCACGGATCATTCTTTCTAGAAAACCACCAAAAGCCCTGGGCAAACGGCTGGTGTTTTGAGAAAAGAACGATGGCTGAAAAGAATGGACAAGATGACCAACCCCTGGAAGAATGTTGATTCCCATCCCCACCACAAAAAAAGCCCTTCTTGCTTACGCCCAAAAGGTGTTTTGGACCCCTAATGGTGGTTCACTATGGTTCACTCCCCCCCGGCTAAGGCAAGACCCTGAAGCAAGGAATGGCCATGGGTCAAAACCCCGGTTATCCCCCAGTGAACATCCCAATCCCCACTAAAATAGACGAAAATGGGTGGTGAATTCACCTATCCCACAATGGTTCCATTGGTTTTGAACCACGGCCGAATTTCGGCCTTCAGAAGCGGTAAGCTCACCATAAACTTGCCATGGGTGTTGAATCGGGTAACCTGGTAGATGGAATTCCTGGGCCACACACACACATGCTTCCGCAGAACCCCTTCAAAAATCGGGTTCCTGGCCATCAATCTCCCAAAAGAAACGAATGGAATCAGTATATCGCTGTGAATGTTCATGAGGAATACCCTGCCAAATGGTTGGTGGACATGAATCCTCCATTGCGCGGTAACTTAGATCAACTCCAAACCTCATGTGCGATCCAACCAAAAAACGGGGGAACATTTGGGGGCGTCTCTTTTCGGGGACCCGCAAAATGGTGGGTTTTCCTTGTGGTTTCCTTCTGAAGCCATCCAAAAAGGGTACCCCCACAAAGAAAGACACACCTAAACGGTGCTGTTCCTCTTGGCTCCCCTTGAAAACCCACCAAAAACGGGTAGCCCCGCAGAAAATTGCGGGGCCAGCCACCCGGAGCCATCCAGCCCGCCCCACGGCTCTCGCCGGCTTTCGCTTTTTTTCCGGCCCCTCCTCCAGGGTCTCCGAATGCTCCGGGCCGGCGGTCCTCGACAGCAGCCTTGGTACGGCTGCGAAGGGACTCCCGCGTTTGGTTTGGCGCCCGGCTTGGACTAAGCGGGCAGACAGGACATGTCCCTGGGCTTGGAGCCCCTTGGTTTGGAGTAAGGGGCCCGGTGGCAGAAAACCCTCTGCGAGAACCAGAGACCCGTTCAGACTCCCAGTTCCCACCAACTAGAGGTTTCCTCATTGTGTAGGGGTTTCCTGATTGTGGGGCTCCCAGTTGACAACAAAGCTGCCAGGTGTTAAAGAAGAGGGTCTCGAGAATTTAGCAAATTGGAGAGGCCCAACACTACCATTTTCCTACCCACACTTCCGACGGGTAGCTTCGAACGCCTCTCATGGACAAAGCCCAGTGAGCATGTGATCACTGTTTGGTTCTTTTCTCCGGAGGTTACCCTCAAACGAAATCCCTCATGAGTGGGTTGCCCTTAGGGCTGAATATGAAAATGGCTGCAAGTAGGTAAATGTGTACGGGGTACCAAATATGTTGATTCTTGGGTCGAAAAGTTGCTTCCCAACCTTTCCAAATCAAAATTAAGTGTCAAACTCCACTTAAACACATGGAGGTGTCTCAGTGTCCCCAACTCAGCTTCTTCAATCTGCCAGAACCTTGACTAAAAATAGGCCGAAAAGGAGAACTTCAACAGGTCAAAAGGTCGATTCGCTTTGGACAAGTGAGTATGTTCCTTTGTAGCCGCCATTGATCGCACCATGCGGAAAATATAGCCCAGGCAGTTGCCCTGGCACATAAACACACACACACACACACATGCACAATGCAGAGTCGTTGGCCCAAGGTTGCGGGCCCCGGCCCGCCGCACTCGCAATCCTCTGTGGATGCGGCAAAACGTCCCCCCCAATGGGTGTCCAGTATGCCTGGAAGCAACCCTCTGCATGAATTGGTTGACTCCCTTTTTTATACCTTTGGTGGCTGTGCGGCATGTGTACGAACAAGGATCATAAGCATCACTTGAGAGAGGGCGGTCCGAAAGCCGGCACCGTTGTGCCAGAAGTGCCAACACAGCACTTTTGCAAGCCTGCTCTGAACGAGTCCTCTTCGTAAGTCTCATCCCCTACGCTGGTAAACCAGCAACGTCGAACTGGCAAATCCCAGAAAAGCACTTGTCCGGGAAGACGCGACAGCAGGTTCTACCAAGATGGTTACTTTTATGAAACCAGGTAGTAGAATCACCAGCTAAACTGGGCTCCTCCAGATCCCCTGCCGAAAGTTTAACTTTTAGTGGGTTCAATGGAAATCCCCACTAAACCAACTGACAACCAAAAACCTCAGGGGATGATTGGGAGCCGCCAGGTAAAATGGCCACTGGACGTTTTCGGGCGCTGCTGGTTGGCTCAACTCACCAGTAAGACAAAGCCGTGGGCCGGGTCCCGCACTCCAAGACTTGCGCGTACTCATACTCGGCCTGGAGTTAAATTAGCGGAGGGGGGCTTGCACAGGATCAGGGTAAAAGCACGATTTGACTGAAACGCGCGATTTTCTGAGAGCTGACCGGAAAGCTGAGTGGAAAACAGGAACAGCACGCTTTACCGCGTCAACTCAACCAGACCAAAGATAAGAGCAGCAGCTGACTTGAAAATAGGCGCAGCACAATTCGTGAGATATGCAAAAATACTACGGCTTCGGACGTGTGCTCAATGGTCATGGTTTCCCAACTTGTCACCTACCTTGATTTATGGCGTCTTGGAAAAGTTCAGATTGAACCTACACCATGCGGCTTCCTTGAAGGGAAACCAAAAGCCAAGTTTGGAGGCAAGGACTTGTTCTGTCAGCCGAAGCGTACCCAAGTCCGAAGGCACAAAAATTAAAAAGGTGAAAGTACAACAAGGCGAGTTGGTAGGGAAAGCCTTCACCTTTCACAAACTCAAACAGTTCTTACTAATCCGCTTTTCCCATTGCTGGCTCTTATAACTCCGACGACAAGCTCATTTCCCATACGGGAGAAAACAAAGGCACCCCTACCCCGGAAAGGCCCTTAGAAACCTGTTAGATGATATTCTACCTTCTGGAAGGTTCCAGCCCAGTGACCCTAGTAGACAAAGATTTGGAACTCTTGGGCTTGATCTGTTTCGGGGCCAACCCAAGAAAACCGGATTCGAGGTCTAAATAAAAAGGAAGGGAGCCTTCGGCCTGAATTTGAAGGTACTCACGACTCTGGACCAAACTCTTCACCCCAAAGATGAAAGATTTGTTCAAACCCCGCAATGCACCAAACAAATGATTCTGTTCAGATTCTGCCCAATAGTTTCCGGGCAAAGCGCCATATGTCCTACAAACCCGCCATAAGGAACCCCCAGGAGAGCTTCGCGTAAGCTCGTATTTCCCCCGAATCGGGGGAACTTAAACACATTGGAGGAGACCGAAAGAGAAGCATGAAAGACACTCCCTTGCCAAAACCATCAACTAGCGGCTGCCTGACATTTTTTGGAACCAACAAAAACAAGCAACTGGTTCAAAGACACAGTTCGACTTGCAAAGTTGGAAGTCACCAAAAACAAAAGAATGTTGACAAAGGGATAACAATCATAGGTGGCCTTTTGGAAAAATAGATGGCCCTGGTAAATGGAATAAACCCCATCTAAACCACCTATGCTAACAATGTGAAGAAGCAAAACACAAAACGCTTCCCTCGGAGAGATATTCGACCGCTTTGTTTGGAGCTCTCACCCCTTCACTTGCTTAGGTCCCCTGGAAAAAATAAAAATGATATTTCCAGTGGTGAAATCGATTCCCTTTAAAACAGGGGAAAATAGAAACCTATTCTTCACCAAATGGAAGCACCCGTTTTGGGGCTCCTTGTCCAGCTCGCCCAGGGAGGCCAGCACAGAGGCCAGCCTCGGGCGCCGGCTGGTTCGGTGCGCCGGTCCGGGCGTGTCTTTACCCCCCCCCCCCGCCACCGAAATAGTGTGGATGGACGGAGCTTTTTGTTTGTTTGCACCATCTAAAAAACTCTGAGTGATAGCTTCCCCCGGAAAAACAAAGGCCAAGAAATGGTCTCCCAGGGGTTCGAAGTAGAGAAGGATTTTGTCCATCCACAGGTCAAATCCCGATTTCGGCACGGTTCCTGGAATCAAAAGGGATTTGCGGCAAGAATGGATTCCCGAGGTGCAGAGGCATGCAAATTGATTTCATGCTTCTCGGCAAAAAAAAAAGAGACTTGAGCCATAACTCCTGAGCTGGACTTTAAGGCGCGCCAGCTGGCAGCTTGTTTCCTTTCCCAGGGAGCTCGGATTTCATGGGGTGCAAAGCTGCCCTCTACCCGAGAGGCAACCAGCGACGGGCCGTCAGGCCGGCCGTCGGGGTGACCGCATCCGAAGCCCGGGCGGCCGGGCATGTGAGTGCAGGTGATGGTCTCTTGGTGGTCCAAGCCCAGCCTCAAGCGCCCGCCGAATGCAAAAAACGGGGCTGAAAGCGAAAGCAACCACGGGGTGGACGACAGGCCCAAACCCTGGCATGGAAGGGAAAAAAGCGTCCCTGAGTCTTGCAAGCCCCTCTTGAAAAAATGAAAAGAACCCTAAACAGATAGACAAAAAAACAATGAAAGAACAAAGAAGCTTAAGCCCCAGAAGTAGCATCCCCTACAGCATCGTCGCCAAAATGAATCTCTCGGAAGTTCCTTAGCACCGAACCCACCCGGAACCCGCACCAGGTACACCCCACCCAGCATGGGCCAAGACCAAAGAAGCAGCACACGAGCGCATCCGCCTGTGGAAAAAAATTCGACATTTCACCGTGAAGTACAAAGAACATCATCTTCCAAAAGTCAAATTTACAGACCCAACGCCCACATCCCGGATTCGACTGAACATGTTGTTTTTCAAGTTTTGCCGTTGCTCTCCTTGCAAATATTTTATTTGTTTTTGGGGACGGGGATCTAATTCTCGGAGATTTATCTCTGAAATTTCACGGTGGCCCCTTCTTCTGTTCAACCCCTTGCTTAGGATCCAGCATTCTCTTTGAAGTTCAGGGGCCCTTTTCGGTTGCCCTTTACCGGGGGCCAAGGAGGTACACCTACCAACTTGTTTGCCTTGTCAAAGGCAGTTTATCGGGCACTTCCGTGCTACTCTTCCGGGCAACAAATACCCCACAAATTGTCCCCCTGTACAGGGAAGGGTGAGCCTCCCAAATGTTTGGTGGTTTTTCCCTCCTGTTTTTTTGCTTGGGATCCCAAACGCGGGCACACTTTTTGTGGTTTTCCCTCCGTTTTTTGTAAGGCCCCCCAGCAAGGACCCCCACCCCTGCACCAACTCGAGGCTCCGCGATCCGCTGGGCCCGCTGGATCGATCCAAGGCGCAACTGCTGCTGAGACGTCTTGGCCTCCTGCAGCAGCGCATGGGCCTCGACCAGCTGCATGGTGCCCCCCTCCGCCTTCAGATACCTCGATTTCGACTCAGACTCGGGCTCGGTGGTTTTTGTAGCTGAAGGTCCCGCACAGAGATGTCCGTTTTTAAGATAGATTGTTTGATGCAACTAGATGGTGCCGGTTATTCTTGGGTTGCGCAGCGCCATCGAATTTTCCAAACGACGCCGAAATAAACACCTGAAAATCCTGGAAATCTGCGAGTTGGAGCTCGTACCCTTTGGGCTAGCTTGAAGGAAAGTTAAAGGGAACCAAGGCAGAATTCAATTTGAGGGATTCCAAAACCAAGAGGCAGGAAGAGTCACGGTCAATCTTCATGTGTTTTGTATCATGGGGCTGTACCTCACTTGGCCTGGCAATCACGCCAAAGGGAATGTAGCCCGTATACAAGGGGTCTATGGCCCTGTTCGACAGCACGCAACATTTGTTTCTCTCTCTCTCTCTCTCTCTTTGTCTCTCTGTTTTTCAGGCATGGTCAATATTGATGTTGACTTCTCACTTGTTACGCAGGGGTCTCGTTTTAGTAATTTAAGGTGGGTTTAGGGTTCAGGGTGTGTGTGTGTGTGTTAAAACGAAGGACGCGCAACAGGAGACCAGAACCGTCACGAAGGTCAGACAAGTGCTTCCTTTCCAGCGGATGCATCTTGAGCCATAAGTAATGGCGGGTGACACAAATGGATTCGGAAAGCAATCAAAGTTTGCTTTCCATGGGCTCATCAAGAGTGGTTCACGTCGCTTACAAGCTCCAATGAATGCCAAACCACACAAAGGTGTCAAGGTAGTTGATGGGCAACCGCAAGTACTTGCAATACCTCCAGGGCTCAAAAGCCTTAACCTGGCACCGCGGGCCTCGCGCGAAGGGTGCCGTTCGGTCCTCTGTTTCAATGGTACCTGCAGCTGACGCAAACGGATCTGTTATAAAACTATAGCTGTTATGGGGCAAACCGAAGGTAGACACGTCTCATTTGGCAAGCAACAATCCGCTACTTGGCTCAAGCAACCCTGGCGGCGATCCGCCCTCGCAATGACATTTCGTGGTTGGTTTCCAGCCGACAGCTGGGTCTAGCAAAACGCTAAACTCTGCCTTCAACCCCTCGACTGTGCGCTGATCAGACGGCAGAAGACATTACCGTAGATTGTCTCCAATTTCTTTAGAGCCTCTTCGGTGACGCGGTCTTCCAGAGGTCCGTGAATCGCTCTGGCGCACAAACACTATCATCAAAGCCGGGCCAATGTTTCAGGCAGCGCCTGCAGGCCAGAATCTGCTGTGGACAATGCCCCCTTTTGTGATTGTTTGTCATGCAGTGCTTCACGGAATGCTCGAAACTGTGCTTCCGGATAGGGTTCAGGAAACGTCCAAGCCAGCTATTTGTCAGACTACTACGGATTGTCTTGGAGCGATGGACAAAACTTGCAAAGGTTCAACGGGTGTTGTGCGGCTTACGCCGGGCTTTCCTGCAGCCATTGCGCCTGCCACGAGGCTTCCGTGAGACCAAACAGCTATTTTGAGTTTGGATGTGCCAGGCAGCTTGTCACCAACGAAAAATCTCTTGGCTTCACGAAAATCCGCTTGGTTTCACGAACAACCCCCTTCAAACGCTTCAGCAACCAGCGGTTGCCAGGGCCTCATCCTCACCGTCTGCCACCTGCAAAAGGACTGGCCCTTGCAGGCCATAGGACAAAGGAAAGTCTATCGGTGACAACAACCGGCTTCAGGTTTTCAGGAAGATCCCTTGGCTTTTGGACAGTCCAACAGAATTGGTTTCCAGGGGTTCCGTTGGCGATGTCTGCCGGAAACTCCACCGGCCCCAGGAACATCCAATGTTTCAGGGAGGCTTGTTGGTATCAAGATCATGCTTTTGTTCGAGGCAATCTACTGGTTTCATAAACATCCTGTGGCTTGAAGAGCACCGCTCTTCCCCTAAAGAAATGCGTAGGTTGCGAGCAGGCCCGTCTGAAACGGAGGTGGCCCTATTGTCAAACAGTTCATTCTCCTTGGCGGGGGTGTTTCAGCAGAGCAACCAAAACCACATCAACGTCTCTCTGGCCTTGTTGGCCTTGGTCTTGCGCTTCGCTGCACCGCTTTCGGCGGCTGCCTGGCAAACTCTTGAGATGTCAGCAGAACAGCCCAAACAAGACGACCCGTTGATGGTTTTCAACCAAGAATCCATGGTTAGCAGAACATCTTTGCGCTTCCAAAAACTTGTCAGGCAGATGTCGTACAAATCGCTCGGTTCCAGGAAATCTGTTGCAGCACAACCCCCAGAAACCAGTCTGTGTATAGTCGCTGTCAGGGTGTGACAAAGCCGATTCTGGCAGATGGCCTTCACTGGGGTTGTATGTGCTTCAGGAACATTCTAGGGCGTCAAGAACACCACTTTTCACATGGCCACAGCTGGTAGGAGAAACCGCTGGCCCCGCTGAATCTTTGGTTCAGCCAACCCAAACGCTTCAGCAACCATCGGTTTGCCTCATCCTCACCATCTGCCACCTGCAAAAGGACTGACCCTTGCATGCCATAGGACAAAGAAAGCCTATTTGTGACAACAACCTTAGTAGAACAGTTGGCTTCAACAACATCCTTTGCAGTGGTGTTCAGGAAGATCCCTTGGCTTTTGGACAATCTGCAGGTGACTGACAACACAAGTGGTTTCCAGGCGTTCCGTGGCAATGTCTTCCAGAAACTCCATCCGCCAAGGAACTCCAATGTTTCAGGGAGGCTCATTGGTATCAAGATGATGCTCATGTTCCAAGCAATCTATTGGTTTCATAAGCATCCTGTGGCTCGAGCACCGCGCTTCCCTTCCAAAGAAATCCGTAGGTTGCAGTTCATTGTCCTGGGCGGGGGTGCTTCAGCAGAGTAACCAAAACCACATCAACGTCTCTCTGGCCTTGTTGGCCTTGGTACTTGCAGGAACACCTCGAGACGAAAACCTGCAGGGATCCACCTTGATCCTGATGGAGTCTCAAAATCAACCAAAGGCGCTGACCTACACAAACGCAGTCGCTTTTGACCCACGATGTGGACCCATGAGCATTGCGGTAATGATGATGCGTCATGGCTGGTTATCGGCACAAGTACCACAGCGAGGCCTCTGTGAAAACTCCATCCACTTTCTGCGCTTGCAAGTCTGCTCTCAACGTAGGAATGAGGTCCTTCAAGATGTGGACATGCCGCTCTGTCCCTTCCAAAGCTGGCAATCTTTCTTGAACGTGCTTCTGGGGAACGTGCTTCTGGAGCAGCTGCGTACATTGTCATGCAGCATAATGCTCAACTTGTCAAATCCGAAATTCGTAGGTTCTTTCAGTTTGTTGGCTTGTCAAGTCCTGCCCGCTCGGTTATCTTGAAGGGCTGCTGAACCTGCCTTGTCCAGGCTTATGAAAGTCAATATTTCAAGACCGGTGTCCCCCTTCCGATGGTAGTAGATATCGGAGCTCCTGCTACAGGCGGTTGGGCGGCGCTCCCGGCTCCTTGTTCTTCTTCTTCTTTTCTTGCTCCAGGTTGCATGTTGTCTTCTGGCGCCCACCACGCTGTCACCCCTTCGAGGGAGGGGGGGGTGGCCACTCAGAAACAAAGAGCGCAGCCTGCCGCTCCCGAACCGCACATCCTGCGCAGGGGCGCCGGCGCCTGCGAGGAGCAGGGCGGCCGTGGCTGTTGGAGCGGGAGCGCTCGCGAGCAGCCGGCTGCAGGCGCATGGCCGGCGGCGGCGGGGAGCGGGCCGAAGAGGTGAAGGAGGAGGGCGAGTCACCCGTGGGAGCCTGCAAACCTCCCCTACCCAGAAAACGCCGGCTCCATCAGTTCCATGCACCTACCTGGCGCGCCCGACGAGGCAGGACCCTAGGTTCGTGGTAAGGGGGAAACACGAAAACGCTTGCACACAACGGGGCACCAGAACCGCAGAAACCAAGCGACGGCCTTGAGAAGGACCTTTTCAGCCAAATAGCTACGCAAGGTCGTTGACGGGCAACCGCAAGGTGGCACGCATGCACATGTCAAGTTGTCAGTGGCTTGGTTTAGGGTGGGCTTAGATTTGATGGTGGCTTGGGTTAGGCTAGGCTTTTCTAGGGTTGGCTCAGCGGTGGGTACGATGACTTGGGGTGGCTTTAGTGGTTGTAGGTGGATTTAGGGTTGGTGTCAAGGGTGGGTTTAGGGTGGATTTCGGGTGGGTTTACTTTGGTTGGGGTGGGTCTAGGGTTGGTGGTTAAAGGGTGGTTTCGGGTAGATTTAGGGCGGGTTTAGATTGGCTTAAGGTGGGCTTAGGGCTAGGGTTAGCTTAGGGTTGGTTTAGGGTGGGGTTAGGGTTAGTTTTGGTTCAGGGTGGGTTTCGGGTACATTTAGGGAGGGTTTAGGCCGCCCAGGGCTGATTCCGAGTTTTTGGGGTTGGTTTAGGTTTAAGTTGGGTTTAGGTGAGTTCAAGATGGAAGGTTGGCTCAGAATGGTTTGGGGGGGGGGGGTTAGGGTAAATCTGTTTGGGTTTAGCTCAGGCTGAGTTTGGTTTCGGGTGGGTGCACCTTGGGTTAGGAATAGGTTTAGGTGGGTGGGGTGGGTTGGATCGGGTTTAGGGTGGGTTTTCGGTTAGTTTAGGGTAGACTGGTTTCAAGGTAGAATGGGATATGGTGGGTTTAGGGTGGGATTTAGCTTTGGTTTCGGGCTCGTGTTGGTGGGTTTAGGGTGGGTCTAGATGCTTGCCGGATTGCTTGCCGGATGGCTTGTTTGCTTGCTTGCCTGCCTGCCTGCCTGCTTGCTTGCTTGCTTGCTTGCTTGCTGGAAAATGAGAGTGGATAACAACAAATGGAAAAAACGTTAGACGGTCGGAAACAGCTCCCCGTAAAAAGGTAGCGCTTGAAACCGTGTCCTTCAAGCTGGTGTGAACACAACGCTCGCTTTTCATGGGCGAATGAATCGAAACGATTTTACCCTCCACGTGGCAGTTACGTACTGGTTGTAGTCTACCCCAGTTTGCCCTTGCGTCCGGCTGCTGTGGTGGCAACCTACCACCAAAAAAACAGGGCATAAGCCCTCCCCTAGCCATACACCTTCACTTGCCAATGGAAGACCACGGGAAATCGAGATCGAAGGGCCCCCTTTCACGTGGACCGGACCCGTCAAACACATTCAAAGCAGGGATGTGCCCGAGCCCAAAAAGGTGAAACACGCAGCTCCTTTGGAAGAAATGAATCCCCACCAAGGGAGGGCCAATGAGATGAATCGCCAATGATCCCCATCATGAAAATGTCTCAACGAGGGCCTACAAAATCTTCACCAACGCGAATCCGTTTCTGGGCCGGGGCGCGAGGCCAAGACCCGTGCGCTCTTCAAGGTCTCGTGGTGGTCAGCCCCCAACTTCTGGACTCGCAGCCTCGGTGCGATCTTGGCAAGGCCTCAAGGCCCAAACAGAGACCCTCCGAAAAACGAGGAACAAGGCTTCACCGGAGCCCTGGGCTAGGCTCACAACCCATGCTTTACAGGGTTTCCTGAAAGGACCACTTGCTCTACAAGGGAAATCCTCTGACCCAACTGGACGGGGTGATTCTTCGCCACATGGTAGGGGAATAGTGCCGCCCATACCTTCCCGCAGGGCTTTTGGTTGAACCATTTGCTGAAGTCCGCTGGCGACGAAAACACCAAGCACGATTCCGGCAGAGATAGATTCCAACGTTCAAGACCAAGAGGGCAACATCAAAATTGCGAAAACATACTCCAAAAAAACACATGAAAGCACCAACAGCGGAATCTACCAAAAACAAACTAGATGGACCAAACACCCATTATGCAACCGAAAACAAATGAAAGAACATGGCACCAACAGGGGAGCATACAAGAAAACTAGATGGACCAAAAGCCCATTCTGAAACGCGCATGGAAGTTCTTGTTGACGTCGGCCGCAGCTCATCCCACTGGTCAGCCAGGGCACTCCAGCGCCCTGCGCTGCATCTGCTCCGCCTCCTTCAGGGAGCCGGTGGCCAGCAACAAGGCGGCCAAGGTGTCCAGGCTGCTCAGCGTATCCTCAGCCAAACCCCGCCGAGCGCTTGGGCTGGAAAATGGATTATGGCGGAAACATATATCCAAGTGATAGATTCCAAGGCAAAAAATGGATGGCCCTGGCCCTGGTTCTGAAAGTTGATGTCATATCCCACGCCAAACCGATCGTATCCTTGGCCAAACACCCATTTTTCCAACCAAAAGGACATCTTTGGTCATCATAGGCAGGTTTTCTGTTGGTGTTGAAGTCGGCATCTATCACCGGATCTATTTGTCCCCCAGCGCCAAACCATTTTTTCCCGACCCAAAGGGAGGAACTCCAAAGCGATTCGTTGGGGCACTGGAAGATGGGTATGGTTCACGACCTCCAGTTGTTTTTTCGCCTAGAAAAAATATATATCCAGTAGTGTTATATTCCAATCTCAAAACCAACAGGGAAAAATAAAACATATTCTTCAGCAAATGGAAGACAACCAAGCCAGGAATCGCCATCCATTTTCGATCACAACCAACAAGTTGACACCCATGATCCGCAAAAGAGGAGTTCAGTCTCCGCCCCTGGTTCCGCGCAAACGTCCCCCAAAAGGTTTGCAAGGTCTCAAAGCTCCCGAACCATGAACTCCAAGTGCCGGAGATTTCTGGAATGCCAGCAGGAAGTTCAGGGTGTGAAATGTTCCTGGAAGAAGTGTCAAACCCTCCTGATTTCTTGGGAAATGATCGAAACTCAACGAACCGGGCCTTGGCCAAACAGCAAAGTGGGGCCCGCTTTCCCTTTGGTTTCAATTGAAAACCAAGCCCACCAAAAAACAGCACCCAACTGGGCCAATTCGGAAAGCCGAGCTGCCCAGTGGTCGGGCCCCAGCACGCGCTCGCGCGCCTCCAGCACTTTGCGGCGGGACTTCAGGGCCTCGCCGGGAGGCCCGCGGGGGGGTTCTCCAAAGCAGTCCTCAACAAAACACAAAACCAGACCAGCACTCCCCCAACAACTGTTTTTTGGACAGTACTTGGGATTTTGGAGATGGGCAACAGTAGTGTTTTTTGTTTGTTTTTCTTTTTGCGGGGAGTGGAGTGGAGTGGAGCGGAGCGGAGCGGAGCGGAGTGGAAGGGGGGGGGCTGTGCTGGTACGAAGGCAAAGTTTTTTACAGGGGAAATGGGTGTCTCTTTAATTGATGGCACCCTTTTGGGTTTGGTTTTGACAGGGCGACCAACAGCACACACCCGTTTGGAAGGTTTCCCGATTTTTGACGACCCCAAATGAACGAAAATGATACCCCCAATAAAGCACAAACAGGCAAAGGAAACGACCCATACTCAGGGTCCTCTGTTTCAAGTCACCCCTAACAGGTGATGCCTAAATCAGGGGGACTTCTAGTTGGACCCCTGCCTCATAAAAGAAAGTTCTAGGGGACACTTCCCCATTCTTTCCGCTGATCCTTCTTTCCAGAAAACCATCGGAACCCCAGGGGAACCAGCTGGTGTTCAAAAAGAACGATGGTTGAAAAGAATGGTTGCAATCAACCCCTAGAAAAGTTGCCCACCCAACGCCACGTAAAGAATCAAACCCGCGGCAGTCGGCTGGGGGTTGTCTACCCTTCATCTCTCCGGGCTGCGGTTGAGGCTCGCTCCCCTCATCCCCTTCCCTGCGAAAATCCAAGGCCGTTCCCGTCAAAAACGTTCAACAAACGTGTGGTGTTTTTTTCCATTTGCGCAAGCCCCCGATATTTCCGGTAGTGATCGATTCCTAGAGCAAATGGCAACCATCCCAAAACAAACCAATTCGCGCAGAAAGAAATCCCCACCTCGTCCACCTGGCCCTCCGCCTCCAAGGTGCCAGCCTGTGCACAGCGCCCAAAACCCCACGTCCGGTACAGGTTTGCATGGCGTGCCGCTTTTGAGAGGTACCCCTGCTTTGGTGGTTCCAAGGGAAAACCGAAAGGTTTGGGTGTCCCTACCAATGAAGCGTCTACCAAACTGCGGATGAGCTTGGCACGCGTTCAAACCACACCTGGCCCCTCCTTCTAGATATTCACTTCACGGCAACTGTGTATGCCCATGCGGACACACAAAAAAACAAGAAGAAAAGAAGGGCGCCCCTTTCCGGCGCCAATGATGTTCAAGAAGAAGCCCCATCCAAGCACAAGAGAAAACATGGACAACAGAAACCACTGGGTTCTCGCAATCTTCCCAAGTCGCCCGGAACGCCGGAGCTATCTCAGCGAATCCAACCAAAATGTGCGACTTGATGGCGGTCTTTTGTGTAGATGTGCTCACAATACAAAACTGTGCTTATTGTTTTTGGAAATAGTTAGTCACACCTAACAAAGAAAATATAGACTCCCTGTAATGTGTTCATTTTTCAAAAGTGTCTCAACTGTGGAATAATGTGTCAAAAGAGATCCCAGATCCCAGATCGCCCGAGCTGCTAGGTAGTCCTCTGCCGTAATGGTGTCCGGGTGGTCGATGCCAAAGTCCTGCGTGGTTTTGGTTGGGGCCGCTAGATGTCCAGGCCTAAAGTCATAAGTGGTAGGGGGCCTTTAGATATCATTGTTGGCTGGTGTTCTCAAACATGGTGATGTAAACTTAAACCATTGATGTAAACTTAAACCATACTAGAGACACGTCCTTCCCAAAGATAAATGCTAAAGTCAAAAGTTAAGGGAAAAGCAACAATTCCCTGACAGAAGTGAGCGCCATCCGACCTCTCCTGACATCTTGCAAGGAACCGACTTTGGGGAACGGAAAGAACCTACCTAGGACTCTGCAGCTCTGCTGGACCTGGACGAACTGTGATAAACTTGTCCCAAGGAAACCCTCTTCGCCGGAAAAGCCTACCCAGGATGAGTCAACCCTGGTTGATTCATGGGGGCGTGTCCCGTGATTTGGGCGGAATCCTCCCACGTTTCGGTGGAAGCGATTCCCCATCCACTGGCCAGAAAAAGCAAACACACTTTGGGCGAACCAAGAAGCGTGGAAGTTGGGATAGAAACAACCTTGTCAGGAAACATCCCCCTAAAAAAGCATCCTCGAAAACAAAACGCCCAAGCATGCATGGTCGGTTGACTGTTGAGTTAACCGATTCAGCTCAAAACTGGGCTTCCCTCGAATCCCCGCCACAGCTTAACTTCAGTAAGTGGAAACCCCCCACCTTTCACCGCCTCAAAACCTAAGAACACCCTTTCCGGAACCGGACGGCTGATAAAAACCGCCCAGACAAATGCCAAGGGGTACCATGGACCGAAGTCGGAGGAGACGAAGCCGCGGGCCTTCTTAAAGCGCCCCATGACCTCGCGGCACAGGCCCAGGGCCTCCTTGTGCTGATGCTTGGCCTCTCGAGTGCCGACTCCCCGGCGCCTTCCTTGCGGAAACGGTGTGGCTCGGGGTCCTAAAGCGACCTGCGGTTTAAGGGGCGCCCAAAAATGACACCAGGCTGTCAGGTGCTACCAAAAGAGGGTCTAGAGAATTTGGAATTGGAGAGGCCGAAATACACCGTACTCTGAGGGCCCAAATCCTTGGGCCGCTAACCATGAATGGTGGTAACCCCCTCAGGGCACCGCCAAAGAAGCGAGCTTACTCATTACTAGTAGTATCTGGTTAGTGGTTGGAAGCTAGGTCCTCCAGTAGAGAGGTTAGAATACGGGTACTCTTTTTCTGTAGTCTATTTTGGTAGGGGAACCCTCCCCCAAGGAGCCTTTTGGTGTCCCTTTGAGAAACTTGTAGATTTGTTGGTTTTCTTCAGCATCCAGTGAACCGTGTTCACCCAATAGTAATATTATTGGGGGCATTCCCCCCAAAAGTGATGAGTCCCCACTGAGAAGGAGACCCCCCGCCCCCTATTAGTCAACCAGCGGACTAGGAATCCAGGGTTTCCCTCAGGCCCGTTTTCAGCTTCCCTCTGTTTATTAACTTACCGGTTTCGAGATTAGGTGGTGGCTTCCCATTGAATTGCCCTCAAGAACAAAGAGGTTCACAACCAAGACACACCTGAGATAGGGGTGTGGCTGCTTTTAGGGTTCCCTTTTTGGAGTCATGTTGAAAGAGAACCCACTTCAAGAGTTCCCCCCGGTTAGCCTGCAGCATGGCAGCGAAGTGCAGCACGCTGCGCAAGGTGTCCGGGTGGTCTGCCCCGAGCTTGCTCCTGTGACCCGACGCCAACAACTTCCATTTGCCTTTTGGCCCCTGGAACAAAATATATTTCCAGTAGTGATAGATTCCCTTGAAAACCAGCAAGGGATTTTAAAAAAAAATGGCAGCAACAAACTGAGGGAGGGAACTTCTGGTCCACAACAAACTGAGGGAGGGAACCTCTGGTCCTCTGGTCGGTATGTGGCGAAACCAGCGCACAGAAAGGGGGAAAGGGTGAAAACGAATGGAAACCACTTCTCTCTCCGGTTGACTGTCCACCTTTCTTCCCGAAAAAAAAAAGACCCGTTATTGGTAGCTTGCCCTTTTCACTGGGCCCCGAACCCATGGCAACGAATGACAACCAAAGCGGCAGGTTGGCAAACCGATTGGAACCCTGTTATGTCGATGATTCCATTCTCCGTGAGGCACTCAGCGAACAAAAAAAAATAAGCTCAGGCGATATCCCCAACAGCACCACACCCTCCCAGAATCGAATCCTCGCGGAACGCACCGCGACCGGTTTTGCTGAGGATGCCGTGTTGTAACTTTGTAAAGCAAACCTAAGAGTGACAGCGCAATCGCGCCCTGATCATCTGATCGGGGCCCGACGGTGCAATCGGGGCCCGAGCGGGGCCCGACGGCGCAATCGGGCCCCGACCGGGGCGCGATGTGTCCCGTGGTGCAAGCGGGCTGCCACCAACCCCAGCCACATAGTTTTGCTCAACGCCGGTTTTGTGTATCCAGCAAAACTAGGCCATGCCAGCTTGGTACCGGCGCAATCGGGGCCCGACGGCGCAATCGGGGCCCGATCGGGGCCCGACGGTGCAATCGCGGGCCCCGATCGGGGCCCGACGGTGCAATCGGGGCCCGACGCCGCAGTCGGGCCCCGACCGGGGCGCGATGTGTCCCGTGGTGCAAGCGGGCTGCCACCAACCCCAGCCACATATTATAGCTCAACGCCGGTTTTTGGTATCTAGCAAAACTGGCCATGCCAGCCTGTGGTACAGTTGACGCGGCCCGACTGAGTCCGGCCCCGATCGGGGCCCGACGGCGCAATCGGGCCGGATCGGGCCCCGACGGTGCAATCGGGCCCCGACGGCGCATTGCCCGACCTGTGCCCGGTGAACCTCGCACACTTTCCTCAGGGCTGCCCCATAGCCTTTGCAGAACCTGGTGGAAACCTCGTGGGGCGTTTTTGGACCCCAAAGCCTAAGCCATACTGAGTAATGCCAAGCATTTACTCTGCTGCACAGTGAGAGTCCCGCAGCAACGTGATTTGATTTGCAACAAAGCCAACACTTCGGGCCGCACTGCCTGAAGAAGTGAGCAAGTGACAAAACATTGAAAGTGTGCTGAGAACCATGAACTTCGGTTTTGCTTAGTGTTCCGCCCATGAGCAAGGCGATCTTCTGAGCAAACGACGGGCGCACGACATATTGTTTTTCTTTAGGGCAAACCATGGAACCTTGCGAAACCTTTGTGGAACCTTTTGGTGCCTTGTGGAACCCTTGTGAGGGGAAGGGGCGCGAGTCAGCTTAGTCAGCTTTGGGGGGGTGTGCAGCGCGAAGGGGAAGGGGCGCGAGTCAGCTTAGTCAGCTTTGGGGGGGGTGTGAAGGGGAAGGGGCGCGAGTCAGCTTAGTCAGCTTTGGGGGGGCGCAAAGAGGAAGGGGCGCGAGTCGTTCCAGCATGGCTTTACCAGGTTCTGCGAGGGTGGTTTGCCCTGCGGGGTGGTCCGGGGTGGTTTGATGTTCCGCCAGTGTTCCACCAGTGTTCCACCAGGTTCTGCGAGGGCTGCAGGGTGGTCCGGGGTGGTTTTGAGAAGGTTCCACAAGGGTTCCGCCAAAGGTTCCACCATTGTTGCACCAGGTTCAGAGTTCCGCCCTTGCAGGACCTGGTGGAACCCTGTGTGGAACCCTCGTCTCGTGGAACCTTACATCAAACCTCGCAATTCTACCCTGGTAAAACCTTGCCTCAAACCACCCCGGACCACCCCGCAGCCCTCGCAGAACCTTGGAACGCTGGTGGAACTTTCGTGGAACCTTCCCTCAATCCACCCCAGACCATCCCGCAGCCCTACCCTGTGTGGAACCCTCGTCTCGTGGAACCTTACATCAAACCACCCCGGACCACCTTGCAGAACCTGGTGGAACCTTGCCTCAAACCACCCGGGACCACCCCGCAGCCCTCGCAGAACCTGGTGGAACGCTGGTGGAACTTTCGTGGAACCTTACCTCAAACCACCCCAGACTATCGCAGGACCCCTGTGTGGAACCCTCGTCTCGTGGAACCTTACATCAAACCACCACCTCGCAGAACCTGGTAGAACCCTGGTGGAACCTTGTCTCAAACCACCCCGGATCACGCAGAACCTGGTGGAACCCTGGTGGAACCCTGGTGGAACCCTGGTGGAACCCTGGTGCAACCCTGGTGAACCTTGCCTCAAACCACCCCCCGCAGCCCTCGCAACCTGGTGGAACCCTGGTAGAACCCTGGTGGAACCCTGGTGGAACCCTGGTGGAACCTATTTCAAACCACCCCGGACCACCCCGCAGCCCTCGCAGCACCTGGTAGAACTCTGGTGGAACCGTGGGGGAACCCTGGTAGAACCCTGGTGGAACCTTGCCTCAAACCACCCCGCAGCCCTCGCAGAACCTGGTGGAACCCTGGTGGAACCCTGGTGGAACCTATTTCAAACCACCCCGGACCACCCCGCAGCCCTCGCAGAACCTGGTGGAACCCTGGTGGAACCCTTGTGGAACCTATTTCAAACCACCCCGGACCGCCCCGCAGCCCTCGCAGAACCTGGTGGAACCCTGGTGGAACCCTCGTGGAACCTATTTCAAACCACCCCGGACCACCCCGCAGCCCTCGCAGAACCTGGTGGAACCCTGGTGGAACCCTTGTGGAACCTATTTCAAACCACCCCGGACCACCCCGCAGCCCTCGCAGAACCTGGTGGAACTCTGGTGGAACCCTCGTGGAACCGTCGTGGAACCTTACCTCAGGGCTGCCCCGGACCACCCCGGACCCTATCTGGGCTGAGACCCCAAAGCTTTCAGCTGTTGGGGAATAACACCAAAAAAAATGGGGAAAAAAAAAAAAAAAAAACAGATTCCCCCCCCCCCAAAAAAAAAGCACATCTTAAGCCAATGGAAGTTTGGGGGTTCTCCTCGTCTTTACCCCTTGTGAAGAACGGGGCGTCCCCGCCTGAAGCCCTCGAGGGCCTGCCGCGTCAAAGGCTCCGCCTCCTTGTACCGGCCCATGGCCTCGAGATTTGCGGCCACAAAAGGGGTGCAACAGGGGCCCACGTACAATAGATCTCGTATGTCTGTGTAAATTAAAAAAAGATCTGTAGATATGTACACATGTATACATACATATTTGTACATATATATATATATATGTGCATATGTTTGTGTATATGTATATCTGTGTGCGTGTCTGTCATTAAGTTGGCCCAAAACAGGCAATGCTTCGTGTCTTATTTATCTATTATCATTGTGACGCTAGCAAGGAGCAAATGGACCCCGAACAAGAAGCAGGGCGAGAATGCCGGGAAGCAAGTGGCCTTTCCCCCCATCCCACGCATCAGGAAAGGCTCTTGGAGCCTTCCTGCTGGAAGTCCTTACATCCCTAGAAGATCTCCTGCGAACGATCGGCAAGATGGAACATCGGCCTTCGCACATGGACTGCACAGGACACCATTGCCCAATGTTCCCAAACTTTGCGTGGTACTCACTTCCTGAACAGAGCCACACAGAAAAGGAAAACCAAACTTTCGTCTTCCACTAAACATGATTCCCAGTAAAATGGTCCAAACCCCAAAAGTTCAAGCCCACGAACCCAGGGAGTCTCAGGGCATGAATCAACTTTTTTCGGAACGGCTCTTGAGTTGCCTCCAACAAGGTCGCCAAGCTGTACACGGTCTGCAGCGTGTCCTGGTCACAAGCGGGTCGACAAAACAAAAAACGCTGTATGTTCTTGCAAGCAGATCTGGAAGCAGATCACTTGGTTGCTGTTGACCCCTCTGCAAAAAAAGAAGAAGTGAATCACTGTTTGTGGGTTCAATGGAAAACCCTTCATTTCCCAAAAAGTTAAAGTCTAACGATCCAACCCAATAGCAAAGATCAGGCCGAACGCAGATGTGCTCAGACAAGTGGAGATGGGAGCTTGCACGAAAACGAAGTACACGCCGAGAGGGAATTAAACTAGGTCCGCCAGTAGAGAGGTTAGAATAAGTTGGTACCGGCTTTTTTCTGGAGTCTATTTCGTAGGGGAATCCTCCCCAACAAAAAGTTGGTCAAAGGGCACTACAAAGAAGGACCTAGCAAATCAAGGCATGAGCGCGGCACCCAAAAAGAGAACTTGGGGGGGGGGGTTGAAGGCCCTGAGGCAAGCCACCCAATTTGGGCAGGACTGATGAACTTAAGGAGCATCAAAAACCGGACCATTCGGCACAAATCGAAGACGTGCTTGGTTGCAACTTTTTGTGGACAGGGCTTCCTTCAACTCACTCCCTGATTTCACGGACTTTATTGTTTTTTGGGTTTGGACCATTTTGGTGGTAAACAACAAGTGCATATGTTTGTGCTTGGCCAATCTAGTCAGGAGGTGAGTCAAACTTAAGCCAAGTTTGAAGGGCGTCCCAGCACCCTCCCATTTTGTCCATGATTGGATCGAGGGTGAAACCTTTTCACTGGTCGGAAAGATGACGGTTCTCGTTCTTCACTGTTGACTTTTCTAGGTCCTCCAGTAGAGAGGTTAGAATAAGAGCACCCCTTTTTCTGTAGTCCATTTGATCCCTCCCCCAAGAAAGGGAGAAAGGGCACTGGGGGACCTAGTCTTTTTTCATTGGCTCGGTGGTGGCCACAGCCTGTTTGTCGCGTCCGCACTGCCGGGAGGTCCCGGCAGCGGTTTTCGGTTGTGGACAAGGTTCCTACAAGGCGATGCCTACAGCAACATACAAAAGAAAAGGACATGCCATCCGTTTTTTGGGCGGCCACCAAGAAAAACCGAAAGAGCCACGAGGGGGAAAAAAAGCCACTGAAAAAAAAAAAAAAACAACACACACGCCATTGCGCCATGGTCTTGTGTTGCCATAGCCCCAACCCCTGGGGTCCCCCTGAGGGGACATGGAGAAGCTGTCAATCTTTTCCCCCTCCTGGTGATCCGGTCCCAAGGTGTGCATGAAGCCCTCCAGCGCCCGGCGGTAGTAGTACTCCGCATCCGCGTACCTTGGGACCGGAAAGCGGGGGGGATGGGCGGGGGGGGCGGGGGGGATCTCTTCTGCGCGAGGGGGGTAGGTGGCGGGGGTTCCCGGTACATTTTTGGGTAAAGGGGATGGCTCAAGCAAGATGGGGGTTGGGGTTTGGGGGGGGGGGATTTTGGCGAGAACTTGCACCCAACTGTAGCCCGCACAAAAAAAATGCACCCTCGCGTGGATTGCAACAGACACATGTGCCTTTTGGTGTACGAAGTCCAGGACCTCGGAGGTGAGTTCTACGCAGCCTCTACGTGTACGTTGCGACGAAAATGGTCTTGCCAAAAAGTATGACTTCTAGGAAGCAAAACAGGTGACTTCGTTCTACGCAGCCTCTGAAAAGGCCAACGAAAGCCAGGAAAAAGACCCAACCATTCCGGCGCAGCGACATCTTCTTGGCCTTCAGGAGGTAAGCCAAGTTGTTCACCTCGGGACGAAGGGCAGTGAGCGCAGACTGCGGCGCATCTCACCGGCCGACCCCCCCCCCCCGCACCCAGAGCGCAAGAACTTGCTCCTTGAAGCAGCCCCACTAAACGTGAACAAGCTGAACAGCCAAAAAAATAATATATGCCAAGAACGGTGAAGAACACCTTCCTTCTAGGTTCGCTTTAAAGGGGGGGCCGGATCCGGCCCAGTGGTTTAGACATGTACCTGCCTAACATTGGCCTTCTTGCGACCTCTTGGTTGACGAGTTCGACATTCAAGAGGAACACCTGCGAAATCCACAATGCTTCCAACACCTGAAGCAAGGGATCCCTAAGTAGAGGACCTAGATCATGGTGAGCTTCGATCAGGGGAGCTACACATATAGCTCACTAAAGGGGTGCCCAGGAGGGACATGCATCGATACATGCATATCTAGCTTGTATTTTTGAATGTGGGCATCTCTTAAGATGGGGGGACCTCCAAGATGGGGTGTTTTTCATTTGACTCCCAGTTTGTTTGTTTTTTTCTTTTTAAGAGAAGGGTACCCTCAAAAAGGACAAGCCCCAGATATCTCTTTATGTATGTACATCTTTGTATATGCACGTATTGCCGCTAAAGGGGTGCCAGGGAAGGCACTCAGAACAGAAGCAGAAATCGGTTGTTCTCTTCCTGGGGCTCCTTAGCTTTTCCTAAGGTCCTGGTATACCTGACCTCACTGCCAGCTTGCGGAGGGTAAGGCAGCTGTCTTTGCAACCATTGGAAAAGCCAACAGTTGAACCTCTTCAGGCAGCCTCTTGCCACGATCCAAAGAGACCCCCACACAAAAGAAAGCTTGAAGGCCAATACGTGCGTGTGTGTGTGTGTAAACATATTTATACAAGGTATCAAGGCGGGGTCTTTTTGAGAGTACCCTTCTTGGGGTTGTCTTGAAGGGAACCTTAAGGGAACACCCCATGTCCGTCTCAAGAGACGCCATGACCCACAGCTGTGGGAATGACCCACTGTGATACCACAGCGACGCTTCCAACTATCTGGCTAGCTGGCCCCAAAAGGGAATCCCATGGAATATGCAGCCGCTATACAGCCACTGTACAACTGGCATCCACAACACTGTTGTCTGGAGAAGTGGTTGGGTACGGGGGTAGTGGAAATTTTCGTAGATTACAAAAACATGAAATCACCTCAAGAGGTGATAAGCTAGTATCGGGGTGCTAGCCAGCCACACTTCGGAGGAAAAAACATCTAACACGACTTCCCTTGCCAACAGTTGCATAAGCAAAACACATCACGATCTAGGCCAGACTTGAGCCTCCTGAAAAAGTGAGAACTGTTTGCTGGTTGAAATGGCACATGATTGAACATCAAAAGGAGAACAGTTATAAAAATAAGCCACGTCCGGACATGATATAAAAATTAAGTACGGGAACCGGGATTGGGCTGGGGATTTGGGCACATGTTGCTTCAACCAGTCCGTGGTCCTTAGACACGTTTAAGCCGAAGGTGAGAAACGCCCAAATTTCCCAGCCGACTGCCAGCTAATACTGTTTTCAAGGCAAAGACCCCGCCATTGCTAATACTTTTGCCATAGTAACTCCTTTCATAGCCTCAAGGGTTTCCATTCCAGAATGAAAAAACGGCTAGCCGGAAACAGCAAAGATTATTATTAAAGCTTTAACAACAACAGTTTGACAAGCTCGTCAAAGGAACCCCCCCTTTCAAGCCCGCCCCGCCGAGGGCCAGGATTAATCAGAGGGGTTTTGTGTTATTCGGGGGCAAGGGGGGGGGCCCTGGAAAATCCAACATGAACCGTAACCAACCCGATTTTCCAGAAACATCACCAAGCAACCAACCAGCAAACCAGCGGGCCATCCGATCTTCGTGTCGCTTTATTTTTCTTGGTGGTGCTTTGTAGGGAATGAAAATGACCCATATAAACCATCCAACTGGTGGTTTCTTTGGGGACCAAAGCCTGGGTCCATTCCATTTCTCATTCCCTGCCTATCGCAGCGATCGCAAGTTTTTGACTTCACCCGGGCGCGGAGGTGAGGGTGTCTCGGTGGTCACGGCCCAGGTTCTTCTCGCGGTTCTTCAGGGCGCGGCGGCACAAGGGCTCCGCCTCCTTGAAATGCTGAAGAGTGATCCTCGGATCGCGTGAAACACTCAAATCTTGCCAACCCACCGATGGGTCCTGGCCCATTTAAAAAGAGATATCATTTTTGATTGAACAAATAATACCTTGTTGACAGCCCATGATCATTGGTATCCTTTTAGAATCCACTGATGGCCCTGGTAAATAGAATAAAAGCCCATCTAAACCAGTGCCATTTGTTTGACCAAGCCTGTTCCCCTGGGTTGAGAACGGTTCTGGCTCAAACATGTGGGGCGTACCGCGCTTTATTTTTGTACGGGTACCCGCCCTTTTTATGGCTTTAAAAAAAGGAAAACCCACATTGCAGCAAGCTGTTTTTTTTTGTGTGAACCGTAAAGCCAGACTCCAAAACCGAAACATTGGAAGAGATCTCCCCAGGCGACGTTGCATGAGCTCCCATGGGCAACCAAGGGCCACCCTTTGCTTGGTGGTTGAGCGTTAGAAAGCTGGGAAAAGAGAACTTGACAGAGTCAATTCAGGCCAGCGATATTGAGCGCACTTTCAGGCAGAACCAAGGGTGCAAGTGTTGATTTCTCATGCCTCCCCGCTTTGCCAAGGTCTTTGCTGAGCGCAAAGCCGCGGCAAGGGGAGGCGTCGGAAGATACTATGTCATGGCCGTTTCTGAATGGACCTTGTTCGTCCGAACAAAGCCTGCAATAGCCACTACTGTGGATGGACGAAATCCTGCACCACTTTGAACCAATGATAAATCACTGTTTGCTTGTATTTGCAGGGCAATCATTATTCCGGGGTTTCTTGGGTGCAGGAGTTCGTCCATCAGTATCAGGGCAATGGCTTTCCTTGCTAGAGCTCTAACTTAGGAACTCTGGTTGCTGCGTCGGCCAAGGACATGGTCGAGGCGTCTGTTGAAGCGTACATCCAAAAACTTTAAAACCACCTGCTTTACGCGAGAATCTGCCACGCAGCTGGTGGAGGTGATTTTCTAGCTGGCCCAGGTGCATCCTAAAAGGTGAACATGTGTGCTCACCACCCACGCGGCCCACTCAATGAAATGGGGGCGGGGTGTTACACGATGGACGAAATCCATTTCGCACCGCTTTGAACCCATGAAGCCGCAACCTGAAGGTTTGTCGGATCATTTCCCTGGGGGATCCAATCCAACCAGGGTGTTTGTCGGTATTTCGCTGGGGGATCGGTTTCTTAGGTGGTGCAAAATGGTGTTCGCAACCTTCCAGCCCGTAAAGGACACGTCCAAGGGAAACCTCCTAGCTTTGGGGCCTGCTTCGCCAAACCAGACCCATCTAGTTTCACCAAATGGCTCTCAAGTCAGCCTTCTTTTTTCCCGGTTGCAAGTGAGCATCCCAGTCCCTATTCACCCTCCCATGCTCACAGACCCTACCTTAGAGGGCCCAACAAAATGTGGCCTTGGAGGGCCTGTCCAGCGCAAAAACGCCCACCTCCCCCAAAGCCGCTGCAAGTCAGGCGGCAGCAGGCTGGCCTCGCAGGCGAGCGAGGTTAAACCCGGCGGCGGCGGGTCTTTATGCCGGGTGGGTTTACTTCTTAGAATGAATACGAGTAACTTGGTTGGCGTTGGAAGGGGAGCAAAAGTTTAAACTTTAGCAGTTAAGTGGGGATTCCAATCACTAAACCACAATAAAGCAAAAATGTAAAATGCTTCCCAACAACAACCATGAGTAGAACCTGCTGCTGTCCACCAGGCACAGAGCGGGGGCACCCCGTCATAAACCCCATGAAAGCAACGGAACAAGGAGAACTACCTACAAAAATGGCTCAAGAGGGGGGTTGGGCGCGGCTCGGGAGTCCACACCTGCTGATTGCCCCACCTTGGCATTCTTGCTCCAGATTACAAGCAATTGCACCGGAAGTAAGGGCTTGGGCAGCTCAAACAACCTGACCACGGACCCCCAAACGGAACCTAAACGGAGGATTGCAAGCAATCTTTGCAGGATACTGCTTCAGAACCACAGCAAGGGGAGCTATTGCAAGTCAGAACCCTCACATAGATTCCCTTGCAATGGGCACGAATCAGCTTCCCCAGTTCAGCCTAAGTCTAAGATTTCTTGCCAGTCAGCTCAGCAGCCTGCTCAGCAGGCCGGCATCTGCATCTATATGTATACATATGGGTGTGGGTCGAAGAAAGGGTAACCCCAAGATGTGTTGTCCTGGAAACTGGAACAAGGACCAAAACCTGCAGTCCCCTAATGGTTTAATTTCGACCCATACACATATAGAGAAATACATTTTGAGGTAGGTCCACCTAGCGCGAAAGGGATTTGTCCCTTGCCTACGCGCGGAGGTTTCCCTTGAGGAGGAAACCTAAGACAAAGCCCATGAAGTTTCATCGGGCAACCTGGGATCTTGCTCACAGAACACCCCCCATATAGGCAGAGAATTTGATTTGCCACCTCAGAACGCCCAAAAATCCAAAGTGGACGGTCCTGTGGCCCTGGGCTTCTCCAAAACAACCAAAGTTCAAACCTGGGCCCCAGGCCTCTGTGCAACTCTACAGCTTCGCAGGGGCTTACTTTCCCAGCCTCTACCCTTTCCCCTCTCCGGCTGACTGAAACCGAAAAGGAGCGGCTTTGAGGGACAGATAAAAAGGGGCGGGGGGCAGCGAAAAGGCTGCCCGAAGCACCACTGAGGGGGGGAGAAGCATCCCAGCAAGGGGAGGCACCAAGAAAAGAAATTCGGGAAGTTTACTTGAACTCAAAAATATGAAATAAGGAATCCGCGAGGAAAGGGACCAACATGAGCTCGCTTAATCCCCGGAACAGTGAATTCGACACAAGAGAAAGCAGAACAGATGTCTGAAATGGAGCCCTGTCCATCCAAGGTCAAATACACGGACCTATATAAATATGATCCCCTGGTCCGCAACCCTACAACAAATTCTGAATTCGACACTAGAGGCCCAAATGGGTTCCCAGGGTTCGTGGATGCCTTTCCTGAACAAATAAGTCGGTCGATTCTAGAGGGGCACATGTTTAGGAAGTCAATCATTCTGCAAATCTTCCTCGACCCCACCATCTTCCTCGACCCCACCTCGCGTTGCAACCCTGAGCTTTCCTCTTTAGCGGCCCCGTTCGGAACACGTGTTGTTTTCCTGAGGAGTGGGTGCTAAAGAGCACCTTCCAGTTTCTTCGTTCCGCTCCCGGCTTCAGATCGGCCCATCCCGAGGCAATTTGGGCAGCCGGTTCTTGTCGGGAACCAACGCGTGGATGGGCCCATGGGAACAACCGCGCATCGAGCCTGCTTGGTCGATTTTGAGGAGAGACCCTTCCCGGAATCCACTGGGCTGGGTGCTAACAATTCCCTCAGCCGAGCCGCCAAGTTGTTCATGCAGGTGAGTGTGTCGGGATGGTCTTCGCCCAGCCTCACAAAAAAGGCGAGGGCGGCACCCCAAACGTGATGGATTACCCTGGGAAAATGGGTCCCCAAGTTGGTTTGTCAGGTCTTTCCCACAAAGTAAATGAAACTAGAAATGGAATTCTCGGGGTCACCCCCCTCCCCAATTTCATCATATTGCCACATTGAATTGAACTGTTTAGCACCGGTCCCTTTCCCACCAAACCCAACAGGCTTTGGACAGTCCCTAAGTCCACTGGTCGGCTCAGAGCATGCTGCAGTCATTGGGCTCAAATGGCTCTTGAGAGGGCGCCGTATCACTGCATGACTTTCTTGGGGTTTGACGTCACCTGGAACCTCGGCAGCCCCACTACGCATGAGCAGACCCCCAAATGGATAAATGCACACGCACACGCACACGCACACGCGCGCACCCACACACACAGACACAGAGACACACAGACACACACACACACAGAGAGAGACACAGACAGACACAGACAGACACAGACAGACACAGAGACACAGAGACACAGAGACACAGAGACACAGAGACACAGAGACACAGAGACACAGAGACACAGAGACACAGAGACACAGAGACACAGAGACAGAGACACAGAGACACAGAGACACAGAGACACAGAGACACAGAGACACAGAGACACAGAGACACAGACACACAGAGACACACAGACACACAGACACACAGACACACAGACACACAGACACACAGAGACACACAGAGACACACAGAGACACACAGAGACACACAGAGACACACAGAGACACACAGAGACACACAGAGACACACAGAGACACACAGAGACACAGAGAGACACAGAGAGACACAGAGAGACACAGAGAGACACAGAGAGACACAGAGAGACACAGAGAGACACAGAGAGACACAGAGAGACACAGAGAGACACAGAGAGACACAGAGAGACACAGAGAGACACAGAGAGACACAGAGAGACACAGAGAGACACAGAGAGACACAGAGAGACACAGAGAGACACAGAGAGACACAGAGAGACACAGAGAGACACAGAGAGACACAGAGAGACACAGAGAGAGAGACACAGAGAGACACAGAGAGACACAGAGAGACACAGAGAGACACAGAGAGACACAGAGAGACACAGAGAGACACAGAGAGACACAGAGAGACACAGAGAGACACAGAGACACAGAGAGACACAGAGAGACACAGAGAGACACAGAGAGACACAGAGAGACACAGAGAGACACAGAGAGACACAGAGAGACACAGAGAGACACAGAGAGACACAGAGAGACACAGAGAGACACAGAGAGACACAGAGAGACACAGAGAGACACAGAGAGACACAGAGAGACACAGAGAGACACAGAGAGACACAGAGAGACACAGAGAGACACAGAGAGACACAGAGAGACACAGAGAGACACAGAGAGACACAGAGAGACACAGAGAGACACAGAGAGACACAGAGAGACACAGAGAGACACAGAGAGACACAGAGAGACACAGAGAGACACAGAGAGACACAGAGAGACACACAGAGAGACACACAGAGAGACACACAGAGAGACACAGAGAGACACACAGAGAGACACACAGAGAGACACACAGAGAGACACAGAGAGACACACAGAGAGACACACAGAGACACAGAGAGACACACAGAGACACACAGAGACACACAGAGACACACAGACACACACAGACACACAGACACACACACACACACACACACACTGAACACATGCAAACATGGGCGTGCTTTAAAACGAGGGACCCGCAAAATTGTGCTTGTCCCATTCGTTTCACTTTAAACTCACCGCAACCAGGGTCGACTCAAGCAAAGACACACATGTCAAGAAAAGTGCTACCCCCCAAGCAAACATGGAAGCCGCCAAGCCCTGCTGAGAATGGCAACCTTAGATAAACACCCAGAAAGTCCTTCAGACCCAAACTTGGGCCAGGTCCTGGGGGCGGGGGGGGTGGTAAGGATGAGTTTTTGACCCTCTGGCCTCATCCTCACCCACTCCCTCCAGATTGCCTTGCCTTGGGGAAACCTTGAAACATGCATCAAACAGGCTTAAACAGGCTTAAAACAGGCAAACATGTACAATGTGACAAGGACTTGGATCCTCTAAATCCGCCGATATGGATTTTTGGACCAAATGAGGCCTTGGCGGCTCGCCACCCATCGCGCCTCTTTTGAAGGCCCTTGTAGGCGCTGTTTTGCATGTCCAAAGCCGTCTGCACATCGCCCTTATACTCCAGCAGGCAGGCCAAGTTGCCTCAGTGAGCATTCCAAGCTTCCTTTTTGTTGGGGGGTCTCAATTCCTGGCTGGAAATTCATGGGCCATTGTTTAACCCTCGATATTTGGCCGAACTGTTTTTTGGTCTCATCACCTGGCTCGCCTTGTCCTTCACTTTTAAGCCTTACTACTTAGCTGTTGTTTGGCCTTTGTGTGTGGCCTTACTTTGTGACCTGCTGTTTTTTGGCTCGGTTTTCTTTGGTCTCCCGTCACCTGGTCGAATCATGACGCCCACAGGTTGCTTTTCGGTGCCGGCTGGGACTTCGGGGCAACTCCCAATCCGCGTGAGTTCTGGTAAAGAACGTGTCTGGAAGACTGTTTCAGCGGCAAACAGCAAGTGGGGCCCTAAACCCTGATTAAATCAGGCATTGTGGGAAGCTCAGCTCCTTGAAAAAAAGAAGTTAAAGCTTAGAGCATAGCTAGCTCTTGTGAAAAGAAGGGAGAACAAGACCATGCAGCAAACCGAACGGGAATCCGCACAATTGCGGATTCCCAAACTGGATATAGGACACCTTCCCCACTAACTGAGCTTCACCGCAAGCCCTCCCTAGCTGGACAACTAGAACCATCTCTAAAGTTACCACAAGATCTAAGAGGCTAAGGACCCAAGGCAAGCCCACTAAACAGACGGTATTCCATGGAATCTTCTGAGGCATTCCTAAGTTTGAGGCCCCAGAAAAGAGCCCCGACTGGGTAGACCGCCCCAGAAGCGTCCCATAATAGGCACTTGGTGGCCGGCCGCTTTTGGGTGCCCTGCGGCAACCATGTGGATCCCGAGTTTCCCTTCGAATGTTCACCTCTCAGAGCCAAAAAACGATTTGCATCCCCTTGGCCCTAAACTGAGCCAAAAGCCCTGAACTTGTTCACTGCAAATGCGTTTCGATTGTCTCTCGTTCCATATTCCCCAATAGTCGACAAGTTTGGAGCTTCTCAATATGTTGGATGACCCCAAAGAAAATCAACCATTCTGCGGAACCATTTGGAGAAACCCTGAGACGAAACCAATCGTCAGCCGGAGATGTCCGGGGCGAGGTGCTGACGCTGCGCAAAGTGTCGGGGTGCTCTTTCCCCAGCCGCTTCTTTCCTGAGAACAGCTGCTCTCTCGAAGAGCCCCGTTGCTTCGCTCGGATCCCGGCCCATCCGACCGATCGCGACTCTCGTCGACCATTTATTTAAAACTAAGAAAGGTAAGATGAGAGCTTCAGGCGGGAACCAGGTTATCATGCATGCAAAGCCAACGGGCTATGGGTCCCCTGTAAGATAAGAGAGAGAGAGAGAGAGAGAGAGAGAGAGAGAGAGCCATAGCAACTCACAGCTCCAGACCGTCAAATCCGTGGCTATGGCTCCTTTTGGCCCATGCCCCGACATTTTTCCCCGGGAACAACCCCAAAACCGGGCTGTCTGTTTGATCCGGTGAGCAACTAGTGGGTTCAATGGAACCCCCACCTTCCCTGACAGCCTAACCCAAGACGGCTGGGAACCGAGAAAAACCTAGAGTCCAACGAAAGAGAAGTGAGACGGGGGCGCAAAAGTAGCCAACCATCAGATACCCCTTATCTGGGCTGGAATTAGGACCCCAGCAAAAAAATAATATATTTTTTTGCCTGGTTAGTGGAAAACAAAGGGACCCCAAAAGATCAAAAAAGGAAAAAGGGGAGCCAATTCTGGGGAAGTTCTTTGGATCGTTTGGAGAGTTGAACCCCACTTCCATTTCAAGCCAAATATCGGATACCTGGTCCCAGCTCCAAACCATCTGGCTCCAAACCACCTGGGTCTGAATTCTAAGTAGGGACCCTGTGGATCCATGTTCCCCTACTTTGGAGGGTCATGAAAAAAGTCAGAGCAGGAGGAAACCCAAGCGGATCAGGTTGAACGTGAGCTTCGGGGATCTGACTTGACGGCCAACTGAAGGAGCAAAACGAAAACGACAAGATAGAGTCGATTCTACTCGCGTGTGCCGTTTTATTATTATTACTGTTATTACTATTATTATTCGTAGCAGTATTTGTGTTTGTTCTTTCTTCTTCTTCTTCTTCTTTTTGTTTGGGGGGGGGGGGGGCGGAGTGCCGTTGTTTGTTTGTTTGTCCGTTCGTTCGTTTGTTTGTTTGGTTGTTTGTTTGTTTGGTTGTTTGTTTGTTTGTTTGTTTGATTGATTGATTGATTGTTTGTTTTTTGTCGGGGAGGGGGGAGCTGGGAAGGCCGGAAGGTGGTGTTCCTATTGGTTTCCCTTAACACCACCCCAAAAAAGTGGTACCCGCAAAAACGACACGCCCATTTGGTTTGCAGTGACAGGAGAAACCCAGACCTGAATCCAAGGCTTTTGGCATCGTGGCTCAAAAACAAGGCGCGGGCACTTCCTTAAACAGCCTTAAACAGTGCTTCGCTCTTAAAACCCATGGATTGTTGGTTTTGATAGTATCTTCGTAAAGGTTGATATACGCAGTTGGCAAAAGTTTCTGGAACCCCATGAGGGTTGCTGTGTACATGTTCCAGGCCGTAAACCCCCGGTTGGGGTGTGGTCTGGGTTGGTTTAGGGTTGGTTTAGGGTTGGTTTAGGGTCGGTATAGGGTTGGTTTAGGGTTGGCTTGGGGTTGGTTGCTTGGCTTAGGGTGTGTTTAGGGCTGATTTAGGGTTGGTTTAGGTGGGTATAGGGTTAGTTCAGGGTTTGTGTACGGTGGGTTTAAGGTTGGTTTAGGTGGATTTAGGGTTAGTTTAGGGTTGGCATTGGGTTGATTTAGGGTTGGCTTAGGGTCGGGGGTTGGTTTAGGGTTGGTTTGGCTTAGGGTGTGTTTAGGGCTGATTCAGGGTTGGTTAAGGGTTGGTTAAGGGTGGGTTTAGAACTGATTCAGGGCGGGTTTAGGGTTTGTTTAGTGTGGGTTGGGGTTTAGGGTCGGTTGTGGGTTGAGTTCGGGTCGAGTTCAGCTCGAGGATCGGGGTCTCGGGGTCTCGGGGTGGGGTGGCCTGGGGACTGGAACATATTTGGCTGTGGCTCAAAAACATGTACCAAAATAGCACCTTGGTAAATGGAACTAAAGACTAAAACCCGCGTAACCCCAGCTCTCTATTTTTGAGCCACACCCATTTGTGGGAGTGTCTTCTTTGAGGGTTCCCATGGTGGGGTGCTTTTGAAGGGACGCGGGACACCACTCATCTTGGCATCTGGACACAAGCTCCAGCTGGTAAAACCATCTAGATTTAGAGATTTGTGCGCACCCTGGGAAAGCACGCACTGCGATTTCGCCGGTTGGCACTCGGGGCATGTTCCAAGGTGTGATCCTAGGGTGCAACTTGACAACCCTTTGATAAGCATGATTAATGCTTGCCGGGCAAGAGAATCAGCAGTTGCTTGGTTCTCAGTTGCCAACAAGTTCAAGTCAAACAGACGTAACATGTAACCGAAACGGCTTGGCCAATCAACCGTCTGATGGTTAAAAGGGAAAAAGAAGGAACCCAACGAACAAACTGGTAAGTCTGGCAACGCAGCTTAACGAAGGGGAGCCTACGGACGCCGCGAGTTCTCCGAGGCTCTGCCCTGCACCACGTGCCGGTACAGCTTTTCCGCCTCCTCCGAGTGGCCCAGTAGCACCTGAGCCAAAACCGGCAGCGTGAACCTGCAATGATCCCACAAGCTCCCTAAATTTGCTTCATGTTGACCCGGATTCAATTTTAATATGGGGGTGGGGGCCCCTGCAAAAGTGACAAATCCCCACTAAAACCAGGGACACCCCCATATTAACCAACAGGGGTTTATTGATCTGGGGTCAGCTTTGTGAGCAAGGGACGGCCAAAAACCCAAATCTTGTAAAGGCTCGGAAGTAAAACTCCCGGCACAAGGTCGAGTAGAAAGTTGAACCCCTGAAAAAACACATCGAAAGAACCCAATACCAACTGTCTATTCTTGTAGAGGCTCGGAGAACGTGCAAAACCAACTCACAAGTCGTAGCAATTGCCCGCGCACAGCGGGGAAAAAATCAACCAACAAAAAGCTCTCAAAGGTGCAGGGAATGCATAGCATGAGCCCTCCCCCACAGAGCTCTTGACCAAACTTTCGAGAGGTCCCAGAGATCCCTCCAGGTGTGTTGACTAAGCCGTGTTCACACATACCAGTTCATATATAGGTATATATATATATACACATACGATATGCAAAATGAATATGCATGAATATATACATATACATATATATATATGCATGTATAAACATATACGTGTATGAACGTATGAATACATATGTATATATGCATGTACATACAGGTATGTACACATGTCTAGATGTACATATGTTTGTCAATTAAACCAAACTGCTGATACCTCCATGGAGCACATGCAAGCGGACCTCGAGAATTGTTGATGGTTGCACAAATGCCCGCGTAAATACTCCCCACCACAGGCCCGAGAATCAAACCACATCGCTACATAAAGAATATATACAAATATAGAGTCTTACATGCGCATACATGCGTATGAGTATATAAAGATATATACATATATCAATCTATATGAACACCTAACACGTCATGCACCTTCATCACGGGGCGTCCGAATCCGTGAGCTCGCTAAACTCACTTCCGGATTTTGGCAATCTACTGTTGTGCTACTAAAACTTCCACCTGCTTAAGCCCCTGGAAAAAAGAAAGCAAACATCCAGCATAGATTCCCTTTAAAACCAACAGGGTAAATATAAAATGTTCTTCAGCAAACGGAAGAACATGGAGACCTGGGTGGGTTCCACATCAACTTGGTGACTCATTTCTGCAACTGCCATCTTCAATTGAAAACTCCTTAAATACGGGCGCTGCCAAGTTGTGCTCGAAGGTGAGGGTGTCGGGATGGTCCAGGCCTTGAGCAATAGATGTCCCATGGGTCTGTCTCCCAGCTGACCCGTTGGTGGATTTCAAGGGAAACCAAAGGGACGGCATCCCTTTTAGAAGGGCTTTGCAAGATGACTTTCCTGTTGAGGAGCCCCCTGTCCACTTCCATAATTGTTGGAAAGATGGTAATTGGTCCGGTTGGAATGTTGAGTGGGCTCCCCGTTCGGGACGAGAGGGGTGCTTCACTTTGTTAGGGCTCCTGGTTGATTAACAGGGGTCGACATACGGTCAACAGTAGACCCCAAGTGTCCACCAATGCAAAACTTCAAAACCCTTCTGTCAGTATCCATGACTGATGGAGGAAGGACATTGTCGTTTAGTGCAAGCTATAACCCGTGTACAAGAATTCGTTGGCGGTCCCTCAAATGACCCACTCAACGAAATCAACCAACCAACCAACCAACCAACCAACCAACCAACCAACCAACCAACCCACCCACCCACCCACCCACCCACCCACCCACCCACCAGCCAACCAGCCAACCAGCCAACCAGCAAACCAGCCAACCAGCTAACCAGCCAACCAGCCAACCAGCCAACCAGCCAACCAGCCAACCAGCCAACCAGCCAACCAACCAACCAACCAACCAACCAACCAGCCAACCAGCCAGCCAATTCAGGAATCAACCAAGCAACCAACCAACCGCCCGACCGACCGGCCGACCAACCGACCAGCTGATCAGCCGAACAAACTAAACAACAAACCACCCAATTGGTGAGATGTCCTTTTCACAATTGCGGGTAGAATGAATGGGTTTTCCCTGGCAGATGTCGCAGGATCCAGCTGCAATCGGTGGAATGGTGCCATTTCTTTTTGGCTGGTTGATGTCTTGTTGTTTTACTGGGTCCCGAACCCAAACAAAAATCAGAGTTTAGAGGGGATCGGAGCCTTCAAACTTCCCTTTGAAACAATCAAAACAAGGGTACCCTCCCACCAACTCACATGGAACAAGGAGCCTCACCACTAAAAGACACGGCCATCAGCATCAACATTACCTCAGGTTGATTCCCATTGCCTTTCGCCTGAAAACCAATCATTCTCTTCAAAACAAGGCCACCAGCATTGCCATGCTGCCTTACCTTTGCTGCTGCGTTTTTAGAGCCGTTTTCTTCTGGGTTCATGTTTAGTGGGCAGCTGCTTTTCATACTCCCATGGTAGCCCAGGAATACAAAAAAAAAACTTGGTTGATTCACAGGGATACGTCCGATTGTATTGGGGCTTGTGGGGGGTGGGTCCTTCACTTCTTCCTTCACTTCCCGTAAACCGGGTCATACGGGCGTGTGCAGGGACACCACACCAAAGGCAAAACCATCTTTTTGGGGATACCCCTTAAAACGGCACACCCGCATCAGTGTCAACTACCGCCTCCTCGGAGTGAGTGCTCAGTTTGGCTGCTCAGCATGAAATTCCGGCCTTGATTTCCGACAGATAATGCCTTGTCCTCAGATCCCCTGCTCAAAGTTTAACTTTTAAAGTGGGCGTAGCTTTTAGCGGTGTAACCTGAAACCTAACGGATGGCTGAGAACCAGTGAGTTGAACCCAAAAAGCTTCCGATGTCCGCATTCTCCCGTTTAACACGGCACGGCTTCGGCGCCTCTTTGGTTTCGCTTGGCTTCCCCCGTACAACAGGCCATGAATCAGGGGCCACTCTCTTCCGAAGTAACCTAAATGGGCCGCTCTCTTCCGAAGCGCATGCCTGAGGAATCCCCGGGAAACCGGATTGAGCTCAAGACCGCGTCCACTTGCAGCATCTGCCCAAAAAAAAACAGAAACACGGGCATTTTAAAAAAAGAAGATTCTCAGCCCAGGTTTCCATGGGGTAAGCAGGTGCCCATGTTGGTTGGTCAGACCCCGGGTTTCAGCGCAGGTTCCGGGTTGAAGCTGAAGGGCTGGGGCTTCCACTGGCATGGACATCTTGGACTGAAAGCTGGACCAAAGCTCACATTCCTGATCCAAAGTCCGCAGTTCTGCAAAGTCCTTTTGTCCCCGTCAAACATCAACGGAGATGCATCTTGAAAGAAAGAAGGATCTAGATACTGGCAACGATCGAATAGCAAAACGACTACCAGGACCCCTAGATATATCTAACCAAAAACGCTCCTCCCTTCCGAACGAGGGGATAACCCGCAAAAAAACAAACAGCCCAAACTTTCCGCTAAAAGTATGGCCTTCCCGACCGGTTGCTTCAACGTCCGGGATCTCAAGCATTCCACCCCCCGGCCTCCCCACCCCCGACATCCAGGGAGTCTGGCCCGTTTTCCCCGGTCTTTGTCCACGGAATGCGGCCGGGGCCGCCGTTTGGCGCCCGGGCACGAGAAAAAGGGGGGGGGGGGGGGAACCTGTTCCAACTTGCTGCGATAAGTCTGGGCTGCTCAAAATGGAGGGGTGGCCAATCCTAATCCATAATCCCTATAGGAAAGCCACTACAAAGGCGACCGGTTCCTTGCGTAACCCCAGGTAAGGATTTAGGATTACCTACGAACAGCTCAGTAAGTATGGCACTTTCCGAAGGATCTGAAAATACAAGTGGGCGGAAGGTTTAGGTTGGAAACAACCAGCAACCGCATACGGCCTTCTGCGAAGGGTCCGTTGCTAGGCAAACCAATGTAACTCCCAAACTGGACATCAGGGAATCCCTCCCAAAGACCTTTCACTTGACACCCCTGCGAGCTCCTGTGGTCCAGATGCCGGAATCAACATGGGGTGTTCGGGGAATCCCAGTTTGCTTGTTCTGGTCACAACTCTCACCCAGTCCTAAGGTTCCTGACCCCTGGGGCTTGGAAAATCCGGAAGTTCGGAGCTGGGACTCATGGAGCGCCCGTGTCGTTGGACGAGCGCATCCCAGCGACCGCTCCGAGTGCACATTTCCCCGACGGGACGTCTAGGACTCACTGCTCAAGCTCTAACTCTCAAACTTCGGGCCCCTTCGGCCCGAAGTGAATGCCACCCTGAAGCAATCTTCATAGGGAACCGGGACATACTTCTTCTGAACTTCGGGTCCAATACATCAGTGAGGCTCATGCAAGGGACCTGCCACTTTGTTTTGTGCTGGCGGCTCCTGCTGAACAAATGAGAACCCTTGTTTGTTGGTATTTACAGGGGAATCAACATTCCAGGGCTTCTTGGGTGGTGCAGGATTTCGTCCACCCACAGTATGAAATGATATAGCAACAACCAACACAGTGCTTTCCTGCGACCACATAAACTGCGGAAATCTGCCACAACACCTGGCATTCAAGCAGCCTAAAACGTTAACGACCTTTAAGTCAGCCAACAAAGGTTGTTGTTTTTTAGAAAAAGAGAGGCCCAAGTGCATCCTTCGAAGAAGCTTGCTATAGTGGTTGCATTTGGTAGGCGCCAGTCGCAAGTCGCGATTTTGGGTCGGCATTCCGAGTGAGAGCCAGGCGCCCAGGATGCTTCATGCGGGCCACTCCACCCCATGGCTTGGTCTAAGCCTACTGCGGGTGGACGAAATCCATGAAGGCACCACAGTTCAGAATGCTTCGATTCGCATTCCTTAAATAGCAACAAGCAATGGTTCAACCATGGGTTTCAAAGCGATTCCGTCCATCCACAGCAAGCTATGGGGTTCATCTCTCCAGTTATGCCCACCCTTGAGCATTGAAATATTGACTTTGGAGTCCCCTTCAACCCGAAAAAGGCACATTTGTGCATTCACGCAGTCGGATTCACCAAGAGCACCATCAAGTGACAACTACCTTCCACATAGTGGTACCCTGAAAATTGTGGTGCAAAGGGAAACCACCTAAAAAAGGTAAGTTTGAGCACCCCTCATGCTGACTTCGGACTGCAACTGCGAGAGCTGAACTTTTGTCGTGGTGGCTCCCCTTTCAGAAGAGAAATGATCTCTTTTCGGGTGTTCTAATCCGAAGCAGTAGGCCAAACTGGGGCCTTGTTGTTTCCCGAAGCCTCTCAAGCCCGTCGCATTTCAGAGGGAACCTTTCGCTGGCGAAACGCTCCCCTGAAGCATTTAACGTTAGGATTAGCAAACCTCTATGCATTCCCAAGATGCCCCTCGCAAGCGCCCCTCACTTTCGGAAGGTTGACCCATCCGCGGTCCAAGTCTCGGGTAGGGCGTCGGAAGGCTTCGGGGGGGTGGGGTGGGGTGGCGCTCCCGGGCCAGCTCGGGCCAGCTTCGGCGGACCTTTGGGTGAATCACGGAAGCTGACCAACGCACCCATCTCGCCGAACGGATCAGGTCCCCCGCTAAAAGTTTAACTAGTGGGCGAAATGGGAAAACCCCCACTAAATACCCAAGCTAAAAAGCTAAGGAACCGGATGGCTGAGAGCCACCAAGTAATACACCCCCAGCTACTAATCGGGGATCTCCCGGAAGAAAGGAATCCCCACCAAAAAGGGAGCCCCCTGATTCATTGCTAGTGGGCTTACTAGTCGCCAAATGTTGCTTGAGGGTTGTGGGAAACCACCCGTAGCTCTGAACATGTTCAGCACCGCGGACTGCATCAATAAAAAACAAACCGGCGCCGCCCCTTGTTTCTGTCCCTGAGACTTGCCCTAGGAGCCTTCTGGTCGGCACAGTGCAAACGAGGAAAAGCTAAAAGCTTTTGTGATATGTCATGTGGGGGGTGAAGCAACATTGTGGTTCAAACATGTTCAAACCATCTGCCTTCGGCTTTCTTAGTGAAGGGAAAGAGGCACCTTGGTGACGCCATTTCCCGTAACGCCGTCCGTTACCACGATGATGCAAATGGTCGCATCTCACAATTTGCAACCCCCAGAATTGGTTGCCTTGCGGGGACCTTGCCCTTGGCAATTTCTCCTTTGCCCGAAAGGACAATGAAGGAAAGCAACGCCGAAAGTCCAAAAGACGAGCTAAGTCTGGCCGTGCATTTTCCTGGCTGGAATTAGGACCTCAGCGTGTTTTTCTTTTTCCCCCTGGTTAGTGGAAAACAAGGGGAACCCCCCCCCAAAAAAAAAACAAAAAAA